CCAGTCAGTTTCATAGCTGAGCAGGGATTTGAACCCTGACCTTCCAGTTCCTAGCCCAACACTCTAACCACTATACAACACTGCCTGTCAGTGAAGATCCCCTGGGAATCTCCACCAGGATAAGGATTTTGGCCGCTACCTTGTTGGGACTCATCCCTTTCTCTGGGTGCAGCTGTCAGCTGCTTTGGACAAATCAGGGCTTTGAATCAGGCTGAGGTCTGGTCCTGACGGATCTCGCTTCTGGTTGTCAGGAGTGGAGAGGGGGCTGCCTGGCCTCTTTCTTTTCCCTCTGACCGGCATTTGGCCTTGCAGATTACCTGGCCAACGTGATGGATGCTTTGGGCCTCCAGCCTTCCAAGGCTCTGCAGAACATGGTGGCTCTCCTGAAGACCAAGCCTGAGGACTACAAGCAGACAGCCAAAAGCTTTCCCCGTCGCTTGGCCACCAGCATCGCATCCATGAGGGGCCTGGACTACTAAACTCCTTGATTGCTCCTAGCACAAAGTTCAGAATCCTAGGCTGGCACTTGGATGCGGAAACATCCGAGGTGCGTGGAGAATCAGAACTCCTTGCAGCAGGACGGACGGACTCTTTCCCAGGTGGAGGAACGCTGTCGAATCACAGAAGAGATGTGGGCACTTGTGAGGGAGAGGGTTTATCTGCAAGTCGCTCAATAAATTTCTTAAAAGAGGCAGCTGTTCCCCAAGGAGGCTTCTTCAGAGATTGGGGAAACCTTGGGCATATGCAAACAGTGCTGTCACCTGTATTAGGGGTGGAGGCACCCATCACCATGCTGATCAGATCTGGGAGAATGGTTGCTGGACCAAGTGGGTGGGAGGGTGAAGGGACAAGGCTCCTCAACCAGCACCCAGCTGCTGTTCTGATTGGAACTTCAGACCACTCTCAACTTACGCAGGGGTTATGTTCTGGCACCCCGGAAAATCACGTAAGTGAGGAACAGCCTCTAAACACCCTTTAAATGCCCTCTCTGCCACTCTCTTTCCAATACAGATTAAAAAAAACACAGTACCAAAAATATCCACGACTGGAATTGAAGCTCGGGGGCTGGCTGGAGGCTGCATGGAAAAGCTGCTGCTGCAGGAGAAGTTGAGCAGCCTAAACAGCCCCGTTGCGCCTCCAGCCTCATCTCCACCCTCACGGAAGCCCTTTTTGGGCTCTGGGGAGGTGCTTCTCATGAGCCACGAGAACTCTCCAGCTCTCTCCCTCCATTTCTGGGTATGAATTCAACCATTTAATTATTTCCTGGTGCCATGTGTATACGTGATCGTGCACAAGTGTGTGTATGTGGGGGGATGTCTGTACCTGGAAACTCCACAACAGGCAGAAGTGAGTTGGAGGAATGGGGAGTTCCAACAAACATTTCCTCAGGTGGAATCCAAATACTGCAGCAAATCTGGCAATCGGTGGCGTAGCATGAGTTGCCAGTACCCGTGACCACATGGTGGGGTTGGAGGGAAACAGACAGAGTACGCATGCACATTCAAGTATCTAACGGCTTCTGCATCACCCATGAGATCACAGCCGTAGAAATAAGATGAGTCGTTCCATTATCTGGAGAGGTCACTTCCTGGTTCACAAGGAGAAGCTGTTTTCAGCAGAGCCCAGCAATGGAAGTGCGCAGCTGTATTGAGGCAGCACTGGGTGTTGAAATTTTGTGCCCCTAACAATTTTGCACAGCCCCTGTGGCTCCCCCATGCTATGCCATTGCTGGCAACCAGCCAAAGGTGTGCTGGGCTGGCTAGGGGTAAGGCTGAGAGGTGTGGCAGACCATAAATGGGGCTGGATTCAAATTGGGGAAGGGAGCAACTGGCATAAAACTGCCCAGCCTGCCCCCTCTAATCCCTTCAAGCAGCGGCTGCTGCATAATTGCATTTCTGCAGAAGGGACAGGCCTGCTAATCTGTGCCGGCTCTGGCATGATGGGGCACGATACCTGCCAGGCATCAAGCACCTCTTGTTCAAGGGTGTCCTCATGCAGTAGGTAGAGGCTCCTCCTGAAGAGACCTGTCTGTGCTGCGCCCGCTAGGCCAGGGAACCAGTTCTGTGGGTTGCTGTAATGAGATTAACGCTGCCTGGCTTGTGAGAGGCCCAGGCTCCTTTCTTGGAATTTGGATGCGATGCTCTTGTTCCTTCCTGGGAAAATCCAGTCATCGGTTCTAAAAAGCCCTAATTTGTTCTTGCCTCAACTGAACATAGGGCAGCCAGGATGGCTGAGAACAGCAGGAGAGTCTGGCTTCAGCTAGTTCAGGTAAAAAAGAGGGCCTGTTGTAGTCCTGTTTCTGCCAGATGCCCCAAAGGGAAGAAGCCACCAAGCTGGACCTGAGCGCAACAGGGACTCTCTGTCGTAGCCCCATCAAAGTCTTGCTGCTGAGCAAGCAAGGGCTAGGAGTCTATGAGGAACACTTGCCTGAGAGCAGAATTCACATGTGAAGTCAGACAGTTCAAAGGTCAGGGAATCACAGAGCCAAGGGTTGAGATGGAGAGCAGGAAGCAGCAAGGTAGGGCCAGGAACCACAGGCGTTGTTTCCGGCACCTGACTGCTGCTGAGAGCTCTGTTTAAGAAGCCCAGAGCCAGCTGGTTTTCATTGGTGCCTTCTGCTCTGTGACCTTGAAGGCTGATCAGGTACAGGTGGAGTCACTTTGCCTTCACCCCCTTCAGGCTGCTGTTCAGCAGGTGAAGCTGACTCCTGGCCCATGACACTCTCTCCACTTGGGCTTTCCAGTCACTGGTATTCAGAGGCAATGATTCCTGCGACCCACAAGGCAATATGTAGGTATCACGACTAGTAGGTGTTCCAATAGCCCTCAACTCCATGAATTTGTTTCATTCCCGTGTAAAGCCACCCAACTCAATGGCCATCCTTGTCTATGACCGAAAGCTACCAGTTACAATGGCTTGATACTCCCTTCCCCATGAGAGGCAGCAGATTGAGAGAAGGCTTTTGCCTTCATCTCTTGCTTTGGGACTTCTAGTTGGAGCATCTGGCTGATCACTGCAAGAAGCAAGTGCTTCACCAGTGGGAGCTTTTTGCCTGATCTAATGGAAATCCTTAATGAGGGCTAAGGGACCTTCCAACCAGCAAAACCTCTGAATTAACAAGGACCAGCAAGAAGAGAAAGCAACACAGTTTCTTTTCTCGACTTTTCTAGGAGCTGGACAGGCTTTTGCATTTCACACAAAATTCTTTAGCCGCCAGAGCTTTTGTCAAATTCAAAACTTGCATCTGCTTGTAATTGGTGCAGCCTAGTGAAGCTTGCACCTAAAATGTCCCTTCTCCAAGTCTGGGGTTAACAAACTCTGGCGTGGTCAGGTGGGTTATGCAAGCAGGTGAGCTGATGGGGCTTGCCTGTTTCAAGGGCCCTCTTTCTGGCTCTGTAACAAAAAAATAAAAACCTGGCAGTGTATGGGGTGAGGGGTGTTCTTCTCTAGGCTCAGGGCACATCTTGAGTGGAGCAGGCAGGAGAGCAATGTGAGGCTTGGACTGCACCCTCTCCTCCCCCAACCCACCTGGTGGCAGGTGTCAGGTGCATGTGGCGTTTGGGTGCCGTTTTCTGCAACTTGCCAAAACAGGCTGGGGAAGAGGGGGAGGAGCCTGGCTTAGGCAAGCCGACGATTGTGAGGCTTAGTCCTTGCTTGCCTGGCACAGCATCCTCTCTTGAGGGCAGCCTTGCCATGTGCTCTGGTGACCAAGTGGGATGGGCTGGCTGTGGACATTCCTCCTGGGCTGGTCCGTCAGGCTGGCCCCTTTCTGACGGACAGCCTGAGTCAAGCAGTGGCCTGCACAGACCGGATCCAGCTGTCTGCAGCAGGTGGCCTCTCCTAGTTCCTGGGATCACTTTGCCCTCGCTGCCATCCTGCCCATTTTTATGGGCTTGTTCGTGGCTCAGCTCTCGATTCACCCGGGGCGGGGGAGAGACTTGCAACAGCAGTGCTGGGGGGGTTGGGAAGGGCCAGCCTCTGGGAGGCTGCAGCAAGGCTCCTCCTGCACAAGGCAACTCTAGGCCTACTGCAAAGGGCAGGTCCATCTTTGCGGTTTGGGGGCTCTTTTTTGTCCTCCGGTATGGTCAGTGGGGGTGGGAGATAGGAGCTGGAGCCTTGGCTGGTTGCTTGGCTGAAGGAAGGTCTCTCTCCCCCCAACACCCTGAAGCTATCACCTTCCTATCATCTCTGCACAGCCCAGTCCCAGATATTTTGTTGCCCAAAAGCAGCTCTCCCCTTCCCTTCCCAGTTTAGGTGACTTTTGGGGCCTGGAATCTGTCTAATGCAAGGTGTCAATAGCCATGACAGGAGAGGCAGGCGCTGTCCGTGGTAGGCAGAGGGCTGTGGAGCATTTCAGGCAATTGGCCTCTCGCATAGCCTGATCCTTTGAACCCCTCCTACCACTTCCTCCTCTTCCATCTCCCAGGTAAGTTTAGGGGAGTGCAGTTCAGGAAAGCAGGAGTCAGGTGACCAGAGAGCAGTATCTATATATCCCCACCAGGGGCTATTTACTCCCCTTTTGCCCCCTTGTATTGCTGAGCTCCCTTTAGGAGGCGATCAGCCCAGGGGAGCATTGCTTGATGTGATGCTCGTCTACCTTTTCTAGCTCTGTGGTTCTCCCCTTGTCCCAGCTCTTCTGCTAATTGGCACGAGGCCAGAAAGAGGCCAGTTGCACAGACCTTCATCCATTTTATACATGTTATACTAAACATGTGCATGTGTGTCAGTGTGTATGGCTGGCACAAGGCGTAAGCCCTTGATTATCATGCCACCTTCCTCGCTGGAGGCTGGTGCATCATAGAGGCTCCCATGTGCAGGAAGAGGCCACCTGGTTGCCAACCAAAACTGGGGGCATTCTGCCAAAGAGATCGAAAAGGAAGCAGCATCTTTATTGGTGTGTCATGTGCCTCTTTTCCTAGAGCACGTTAGCCTATGCTCCACGTCAAGTAGAGGAGAGGGTGGGAAGAGGAGGAGGTTTGAGGAAGCAGGCAAGGCAGTTGCTCTGTCTGTCTCGTTTATTGTTAGCTCACAGAAAGGCCTGAGCTGTAGGAAATGGGAGGTTGCTTGTATTGCTCTCTAACAAGCACAGGTTGATGGTGGACTCCTCTTCTGCTTCTCTTCATCTAAAATAAACCCCACCCACAAAGAGTCCAACTCATAAAATGTTTTCCACCATAGGTGAGTTGGTATTCTGCAAAGGACTCTTACCCTCTCCCTCCAAACAAAATCTCCCTCCCTGCAGTGTCACCATCTTCAAAACCCCAAAGTTTGAGGGCAGCAGTTTGTACAGGAGAGTCAGGTGCATGGCTAGCCAGCTCAGGCAGGCAGCAAAAGGGTTCCAGCATCACTGAAACGTCAGCCCTGGCTGGGTTAACTGAGGCGTCTGGACGGAGCTTTGTAATATAACCCCCATTTCCACAACTCAGGCTCTGCCCAACCCTAAAGGGTTCCACAGAAGCTGCAGCCATGCACATTCCTCCAGCCAGATATGATGCTCCAACTAAGCAGATGAGCAAAATGGGAGACCTCCAACTGATCAGTGTTTTGCAGGGGGGAGTCCAGCACATGTTTGTGTGCTTAAAAGTGCTCTGCCACTTTAACACAACGAACTCACGGGGGGGGGGGGGGGGAGACCTCCACCACAGACAGACTTTGGGCAGTTAGGATAGTGACAGAGAAATGTACCGATGATGAACTATTGATTATGCAAGTGAATCAGAATGAATGCACATTTGCCGTAAACAAAGCGGAACAGACACTCAAAGCAGACTGGGCATGCCCTGACCTCTGTGCAATCCAATCGGGACAAAAGCTGAACCAAGAGCCCAAGGAGAAAGGGCTTTGCATTAGCAGCCACTCTTGAATCCCTAAATGTCCCACGCTGCAAGGAGCTGAGGGAGAAGGAGCAGGCTGTCTGGGTGGGCATTCCTGCATGGACTAGAAGACCCTTGAGGTCCCTTCCATTCTGCAATTCTACGAAGCTCCCTTGGAGGACAGAGTGGGGTTTCTTGGCTCCCCTTCCACATCAGCTGGGCATTAAGCTTTAGTTGGATCTGCTTCCCCATCGCTATCCATCTCCATGACATCCATGGCCGACACGCGGAGGGAGTCGTACTGGGGAGGTGGCGTTCCTGGTTCAGACCCAGCCTCGCCATCTGCGGCCAAGTTGTCGTCCCCAGGATTGTCATCGGCTCCCTCCTCCCCCTCCTCCCCTTGGAAGCCCAGGTTGGTGTGAGCCTCCACCCTCTCGGACACGGTGGGAAGAGCGTCCCGCTTCGGGGGCTGGCTGCGCTTTCTCCTCAGCCCCTTGAACCAGCCAATCAGCTTCAGGATAGTGATCCAGACAAAGTCGATGAGGATCTCTCCAAACTCAATGATGCACAGCACAGAGCCTCCCATCCAGAAGCCAAACTGGCCACCCAGGCTTGAGAGAAGCCAGACAACCTGCAATGGGAAGAATCACAGGTTGAGAAGGCACTTGGAGCAGGGGGAGGTAAGGGGGGTCCTGACCCCAGGGGGGGCAACGGTTTGCTTTGAGGATGGCCTTCCAGTGGAACAAGTCCAGAGGATGGAATAGGCTTTGTACCCAGTTGTCCTCACTGGACTTTAATCACAAAAACCCTTATTTATGTCCTTTTCAATTTTACAATCATGCCTTGGATCCCGAACGCCTTGTGAGTCAAATGTTTTGGCTCCCGAACACCCAGCAGTGAGTGTTCTGGTTTGTGAATGTTATTTGGAAGCTGAACGTCCGACGCAGCTTCCGTGCCTTCCAGTTGTGTGCAGAAAGCTCCTGCAGCCAATCGGAAGCCGCGCCTTGGTTGTCGGACATTTTCAGAAGTTGAACGGACTTCCAGAACAGATTCCGTTTGACAACCAAGGTATTGGAGTATTTCCAGCCAAGGACACAACCAAATTTCAGAGGGGAAACTAACAAGACTTTAGCTTTTAAATAAACTATCGGGGGAGTGCTGGAGATTCAAAAGCTGAAGAGTGAACAGTTTAAGCTTGTCTTTATTCCAAAGTTGGAATAAGTCTTTCTCATCTCATCATAGTCCTGGAGAGCTCTCCTGCTCACATACGGCTCCCATTCTTTGACACCAAATCAGTATTTTCCCAGGGGCCACAACTCACCCTTTGCAACATGTGAAATAATAGCATCCCTGAGACAGTTTCTGTGACAACTCAGAAACAAAAGCCAAACCAGGAGGCACCTGAGAGAAGGGAAATGCTTTTCCAGTGGAGAGGGTGGGGCTTAAACACATCCCTCATTACTATTGGACAATTCCCCACCCTGTGCTTCATAGAATAGGCTGAGCAAGGGGATCTGGACCCAGCCCACTTACAGTTGTCCCTGCCGTCTCCACAATGGTTCGGTAGTTGTACTCTTGGAAATAGATGTTGAGCTTGATGATCCCACTCCTGCAGGAAGCGAGAGGAGAAACAATGAGCTCCTCTTCCTCAAACATTCATTCACCAGGCCTGATAAGCTGCTGCCTGAGATTCTGCCCTTCCCTTCCTATAGGCTCCTGCCCTGAAGTTGGGGGCCATCACCGCCTCCTGTGGCAGGGAGTTCCACAGTTTCTCTGTGCTGTGCGAAGAAATACTTTCCACCATCTGTCCTGAATCTCCCAGCTTCACTGGACGTCTACGACTTCTGAGCGTTAGCAGAGAGGGGGAAAAGCTTTCCCCTATCCATTTTCTCCATGCCACAGGCACCCCACTCTCACTTGGTGGCTCTGGTGTATGTGGCACACAGGAAGGCTCAGCAAACAAGGCTGTGGCAGCCACTGCAGCTGCAAAGTGTGCCTATAAACCTGGGGCCAGTCGCCCAACTTCCGGCTGCTCCGGAGCAGCCAAGATCAAACTGGTTGCAGTTTGCGGGAGAAGGCTGAGACACTTTGCAGAGCTGCAATTTCGCAATCGGTGGAGGTAAAAGGCTTGCAATGCGGCAGCGGTGGCTGCTGCAAGGGACCATGCGCCGCCTGGAACAGCTGGGGCTGGCTGAAGCGCATTCCTCCTGGGCCTGCTTTTGCCACAAGAGCTTTCCAAAGTGGGTTCTGGGGCTGGAGGATTGGCACCTCCTGGGGCCTCAGAAAGCAGGGAGAGCAGCTAGGCTGGGCGAGTCTCAGAAGCCAGAGGGGGCTTTGGTGGTCTCACCTGTGCTCTGTGGCCAGAGCAGACGCAAAAAAGAAGAGTCATGCAAAAGGAGCAGCAACTATCCCAAGAAGGCCTGACGGGAGCAGGGAGAGCACAGCGCCCTGGGCTTGGCCCTCAGCAGCTGAGCATCACAAAAACTTCCCTGGTGGGGTTGGGAATCTGCTGAGGGCTCCCTCCCCCTCCTCCCCACTTGCTTGATCCTGGAGGTGGTGAGGAGAGGCCACAGCCTGATGGATCCCTGCTTGCTCTCTGCCTGGCAAGCAGTTAGATGGCAGGGATGAGGAGCAGTCAGAGAGGGGGGCAGGGGCTGGATGAGTTCTTGCCTCAGGCCCCTCCAAGCCCTGGAGCCAACCTTGCCTCTACCACACATTGATTTTTACTGCATTCATAGCCCACCCTTTCCCTCCAAGGGGTTCAAGGTGGCGTACATGCTTCTTTCCCCCTTCTCACTGAATCCCTGCAACAACCCTGTGAGGTAGGTTCCACTGAGAGGCAGCAGCTGCCCCAAGATCGCTCCATACAGGGCTGAGTGGGGATCCAAACCCAGGTCTCCCGGGTCCTTGTCTGGCACTCTAACCACTGCACCACACTGTCTCTCTAGCCCCAGGCTGCCAGCTTAAGTAGCTGCCTTCCCTTCTTCTGATGCGGGTGGCGCTGTGGGTTAAACCACAGAGTCTAGGACTTGCCGATCAGAAGGTCGGCAGTTCGAATCCCAGCGATGGGGTGAGCTCCCGTTGCTCGGTCCCTGCTCCTGCCAACCTAGCAGTTCGAAAGCACATCAAAGTGCAAGTAGATAAATAGGTACCGCTCCGGTGGGAAGGTAAACGGCGTTTCCGTGGGCTGCTCTGGTTTGCCAGAGGCGGCTTGGTCATGCTGGCCACATGACCCGGAAGCTGTACGCCGGCTCCCTCGGCCAGTAAAGTGAGATGAGCGTCGCAACCCCAGAGTCGGCCACGACTGGACCTAATGGTCAGGGGTCCCTTTACCTTTACTTTCCCTTCTTCTGCATCTCCCTGTCTAACCCCCCCCCAGCCCCCCTCCTTGTCTCTCCCTACCCATTCCTTGTGGCTCAGGGAGCAGCTGGCTTTTACTCACCTGTCCACTGTGATATCGCGTGACTTATTTCTTTCATAGGATAAAATATGGAATATCCAGTTCTAGAAAGAAGAAACAAAATAAGGTTTCTGGAAGGAGGGATGCTCTGACTGCCATCTGTGTGCAGTACCTCACCCCCTTTTTGCTTACTTGTACATGCAACGTCAGGTGCCTTGCAAATGAATAAATGTAAATGAATTAATTGGTTGCCTTTCTGACGTGGGTACATTTTTAGAAGCATAAAGCACTTTTATCCGTTCAGGACAAATAAAAGAAAGTACTTCTTCATGCAGTTAAACTATGGAACTCTCTCCCACAGGAGGCAGTGATATTCACCAACCTAGATGACTTTAAAAGAAGATTAAACAAATTCATAGAGAAGAGGACTATCCATGGTTATTTGCCCCGATGGCTATGCTCTACCTCCATGGATGAAGGCAGCGATTCTACTGAATGCCAGTTGCTGGAAACCTACACGAGGGGAGAATGCTTGCAGGCTTCCCAATGGGGCATCTGGTTCGTCTCTGTGAAAGCAGGGAGCTGAACTAGATGGAACCCCTTTGGCCTGATCCAGCAGGCTATTATGGTCTTAAAACAGGAGCTTATTTTTTATTTTTAATATTCCTTATTGGATGAATTTCATCCCTTTTAAATCGAGCCACTTCTCTTTGTGTTTTTTAAATAAATTTAATCTTATGCACCTGAGTCTGGGACTGAGCTGCTTTAAAAGCCCCAACCACCTAAGCATCTACCCAGCTCCATGTGGGTAGATCTTCAGAACATCCAGAAGCCAAAAGACTTCCCCAAAAGCATCTCTGGGAGACCCACCTCAGAAGCTTCAGAAGGCCAGTCAGCCATGGAGATAGTCATCTTGTACTGGGTGTTGCTGTCGAAAAAGGAAGGAGAGAAAGTTGTCATTCCCTGTGCCCCCTTCCCCGTCTCTTTGCATAGCAAAGCCCAGCTGGGTTATTCCAGCTGCCCCACTGGAGAGGCCCAGGGGTCAGTGCAAGACGGAGAGCAGGGCTTCTGTGCCTCAGGAACTTTGTGGGGCGCCGCCTGTACTTACTTGCAGGTCTCCTTGCAAGACTCGATGCAGGTCTGGCGGATCTCCAGTTGGTTGCGCAGCTCAGAGAAGCAATATGCTGCAGAGTTCAAACAAAGCACAGTCATTACTTTCAGGAACTTGAGTGGAGTTGTTTTCTCCCTGTTGAATTTGCGGGGCTTAAAAGCTCATGGAAGTGCCAAAGGGGAGAGGGTTGTTCCTGTGATACCGCTTCCCTCACTCAGGGCCGGATTTAGGTCTGATGAGGCCCTAAGCTACTGAAGGTAATGGGGCCCTTTATGTATCCAGTTGTCCTTTGTCAACAACAAATTGTCCCTGTTTTTTTGTGTTGAATATATGCTATATGGTAATTTATGGACCTAATAGGTATCTAAAGCCATTTAGAAACACTGTTGCTGTATGTAGGCTTTATTTTATTTGTTTATCTTATATTTTGGAAATGTACATCCAGGTTTTTTTCCTTTAAATTTTGTGGGGGCCCCCAAGAGAGTGGGGCCCCTAAGCTATAGCTTGTTTAGCTTATACGTAAATCCGGCACTGCCCTCACCCCAAATCAAGCTGCTGTTGTCCGGAGCGGAACTGAAGGTCCACACTGCTCTGGCAACCCGTCCCACATTCATAAGAACTTGACCTTATGGTGTGGCAACACTTTGGAACTCCCTGCCTATTGATATCAGGCAGGCACCTTCACTGCACACCTGCTGAAAACATAATTGTTTAAAACTGTCTTCAATATATTGTTATTTAAACTTTTCAAACATTTAAATTATTGTTGTTGATTTACACTTTTAATGCTTTTTTTGTGTAAACCACTTTGAGGTGGGTTGTGTTTTTTACGATTAAGTGGTGTATAAAGACTCTATGAAATAAAACAAAACAGATTATCTTCACAAGTTGAATCTAAAATTGCAAGCTTTGACACTTCGCTTTTTAAAAAACACACCAAACGATGGAAAGACATTCAAAACAAAAACAGATGCATGAGTTTTAATTCCTGGCCCTTTCAAAGCATTGCCCGGGCTCCCAGTGTCCCTTCATTGCTTGACTAATCCATCATGGTCAATGACCCATTTACACAGGTGGAACACACACAATATCCAACACCCACTAAATAAACCAAATCGCTGTAACTAAACAAGGAAGCTGGACTGCTTGGGCAGTGTTTGCAGGGCAAACACACTTTCCCCAAGAAGGGGAGCACCCCCCCCGCGTCCTTTCTGTGCCCATTCTCACCCCAGTCTGGAAACTCCTGATTGTTGCAGTAAGGCTTCCCTTGGACCCTAGGGAAGGAGTAGTGGCAGCAGTTGCAGTCCTTCACCATCCAAGCTTGGAAGCAGGAACGTAGGCAAGCCTGGAGGAAGAGAGGACTCTGCTTAGAGCCAGCGAGTTCCCAAGAGGACTTGGAATCATAGAATAGTAGAGTTGGTCTTCCAAGACAACAATGCCCATTTACACCACAAAGAACTCATAAACCACCTACTTTCACCAGCCAGAAACACCATAACCAGACACTGGAGAGACCTGTCAGGAGTAAGCATGGACCAATGGTACCAAATAGTATGGGAAACAGCCCTACTAGAAAAATCAACCAATAAACTGAAACTGACACGGGGACAAACAGAAGAAGACGCATTTACCCCGGTATGGCTCCCCTTTATCACATACACAGCCCAACAAGACGTTGACAATAATCCACCAACAGCATACAAATCAATATGGCTAACCTGATCCACCCACCCACCCCACTCACACACAAAAACAAAGATCACCACAGCCAACTACAAATGAACAGTCACACCCTAGGCCAACCCCAACCTCTCTCACCATCAAAAAAACACAAATGAACAGCACGAGCAATGCTGACACCAAACCCTACATACATGATTAAGCAAAATAGAAACATTGCCACCCGACCCCACCCATCTTCCCCCCTCCACCCCCTTCTCCCCCAATGTCTTTAAAAAAAAAAGAATGGTAGAGTTGGAAGGGACCACGAGGGTCATAGGGTCCAATCCCCCTGCAATGCAGAAATCTTTTGCCCAACATTGGGCTCGAACCCACAACCCTGAGATTAAGAGCCTTATGCTCTACCCATTGAGCTATCCCTCCAAGAGGGGACCTTGGGTTAAGTCTTTCTCTCAGCCTCCATCCCCCATGTGAGGAGGGAGACCAACTGAGAAAGGACATCACCTGTATTTCTAGCCAGGAGTGGCTTGGAGTGCTGCAACAGGTAAATCAAACCTTGGGTCAGGTCCAACCGTGACCTCAGCAGCCCACCACTATCGGACCTTCTTGAAACTGCATCAAAAGTTGCTAAGGAGACACAACTTGGGACGAACTTGCTTGACTGGATGGTTGAGGGGGAACAGAATACGGTCTGTATTACTTACCTGGATGGAGTAGGTTGTCCTGTAGACCGCTCCTGTGGAGCTCTCCTTGCGGTCTTCCATGGTGCAGTTGGAGCAGGGCTCAGTCGGCACTGTTTCCTCCTGCAGGGAGGAGGAGGAGAAGGGGAGAAGTAAAACCTTTCTGGATTTGTTGGGTCAGGAAATCCTCCTTGCCCCTTGTCCCAGCTACCTGTCCCTGAGGAAGAGGGCAACCTAGGTGAGTTAGGTTTCCACCGTATCTCCTCCTGCTGAGACCAGATCCTAGGATTGTAGAATTACAGAGCTGAAAGGGACTCCAAGGGTCTTCTAGTCCAACCCCCTGAAATGCTCAAGAATCCCTGACCGACGACCAGATAAGCTGATTCCGCTCAATTCCTAGTGGAGGGATCAGGGAAAAAGCCCAAACAACTCTGCCCCCAGGCACTGGGGAAGCTCCATTTATCTGAATCCACCCAACATCTCATCACAGGACTTAGAAGTGGTTGTGACCCAGCTGCCTACTCCCTCATCTTGGCAAGAGACGTTCTTCTGCAGAGTAGGAGGCTCCATTCAGTCTAAAAACCTGACTCATCCTAAGCCTGGAATGGGCAAAAAAGTGCATATTGGATTTTATAATGTCCCTACATTCCCTAGTCCAGTGTTTCCCAACCTTGGGCCTCCAGCTGTTTTTGGACTACAACTCCCATCATCCCTAGCTAGCAAGACCAGTGGTCAGGGATGATGAGAATTGTAGTTCAAAAACAGCTGGAGGCCCAAGGTTGGGAAACACTGCCCTAGTCCATCCTTTTGCAGCCTGCTGTTGCCCAGATGTTTTGGACATCAGCCACAGCCGGCTGTATGGAAACATAGCCACTGGTGGCTGGGGTGGATGAGAAGGGTTGTAATGCAAAACATCCAGAGGGCAGCTTAACTCAATGGCAGAACATCTAGTTCAATCCTAAATGGCATCTCCAGATAGGAACAGGAATGGCCCCCTGCCTGAAGCACCAGAGATCTGCTGCCCATCAGTGTAGACAATACTGAGCTAGATGGACCAGGTGTCTTCCTTTGTCCCGGTTTAAATCAGCCCTTGATTCAGAAACAAAGAAGACTGGAACCTTGGGAAGGACCGTTGCTCAGTGGTAGTAGAGCATTTACTTCCTATGTTCCTAGTTAATAGTTGATCCGCGCTACTGAAGTTCTCGCCTCTTGGCACACATCAGACAGGTATTATTTACCAGCCGTTCTTCCACTATAGACTTTACTGGGCTTTTAAACCTGTTGACGTCCTTTACAACATGAGTGGTGATTTCCCCTCCCAGGAAGCAGAGCGGCCAAGGCAGAGTAAGGCAAGTTGCCTTTGGCTATGGAAGAAACCAAACACCTTGCGCCTTCCATGTTTGGAGGGCTTGTCTGCCATTGTTTACATGAAAACAGTTTACATGAGCAGGAGTCGAAGGAAGGAGACAACCGCCAGCCTTTCCTTCTCGGAGACACATTTAGAGCAGCGGAGATGTACTTAGGGACTTGGGAAAGGAGGAGGCAGCCGGCTGCTCCCTCCCCAGCCTCCTGCCCCTTGGCTGAAACAAACTTTGGCTTTTCAGTTTACAGTTGTTGGGATTTTGTGCAAGAGGGGAGGAATGCTGGGAAACTTGCCCTTCGACTTGCTTTGCAGAAAGCAGCAGCAGCAATATGCGTGGCAGAAGCAGAGGCCTCCAGCAAAGGAGAGTCCCCACCACTCAAGCCACCCTCTCTGCTCTGCAGAGGCATCCTCTGCTCATCAGGGGAATCACAGAATTGTAAAGTTGGAAGGGCATTGATTCCAACCACTGCAATGCGGGAATCACAGCTAGGGGTCACTTCCAAACAAACAAACAAACAAAACCACCCCGCATGCTTGGGAGCTACTCTGGCCAGGAGGCAAAACTGCCCCACAACCCCCAACACAAGGACAGAGGGAAGAGGGAAAGGCACTCTGCACATGCTCAAGGACATCCCATTTGATCATTTTTGCTGTTATACATACGTGTGTGTGTGTGTGTGTGTGTGTGTGTGTGTGTAAAATATTATAATCTGCAGGTTCCTAAGCTGATTCCTGGCCTCCAAACTCACCTAAGACTAAGTCTTGAATTTTGGGACCCAACTGCCCAGAGAAAGACATCCGTTCTCAGGGTGACTTAAAATCAAGAGAGCAGGCACTGAAAGGTGTTCCCCTTCTCTGAGTTGTTTTAGACCAGTGGTTCCCAGATCATTTGGGCTACTGCCCCCTTGGTTCCATAAACTCATTCCTAGTGTTCTCTACCCTATAAGAAGCATTATTCAGAATAGCGGTTTGCAGGACCCAGTAAGGAAGACAATAACCCAACACAATTCAAAACAGTCACCATTACCTGCCCATTTATTCAAAATCAAGTTTAAAATATTTAGCTTCATTAGCAAAACTGACAGACTTGATCCCGTGATACTAGCTTTTCAGAGTCTGATAGTCATTCACACCTTCAGCAGCCCCCCTGCCCCCTTGCCTCTGAGCAGCCCCTTAGGTAATCCTGCAGCCCCACAGGGGGCAGCACATATTGGGAACCACTGCTTTAAACTGTGTTTTAATTGTTGTAACCCACTCTGGGACATTAGGGTGGAGGGCTTGAGGATGACGATGATAAATTAATACTAAATTAATAATTGGAGTGCAGTGGAGAAATCATCACCTGGTAAGTAGGATAGTCTTGATACAGATTCTTTATAGGGATGTCTGACCCGTTCACCGTGCAGTCGCTGTAAGGAGCTCCCATCCGCACAAGTTCATCCTAGAAAGAAAGAAAGAAATCTTAAGGGCAGATGGGATCCCTGAACAGTTGCTTCTTGCTCTCAGTTCTCCTGCCACCCTATAAAAGAAGCACCAGATCCCTGAAAGGCAGTGATACTGCCCTGAAATGAAGAGAGGAAGGGGACTTTGCTCCCTGCATGCAAAAGTCTCTGTTTTGTTGCATCAAGAAGACACCAGAAACATCTGTATGTTTTCCTGAAGTCTTAGGCTGTGTACACTTCCCCGGGCTGAAAACACAGCGAGGTCGTACTTTTCTCAATTAAGATCAAAGCTGGTTTTGTGGGGAAGTGCACCATAACGCAGAATTTCATAGGAAACGGCAAGATAGGTATGGATTGGTTAATGTGACGTGTACACCTCTTCCCAAACCAGTTGTGGGAGCACGCTTGATGCAGAATAAACAGGAGCATGTGAACGCAGTCTTGCAAGCAAAGTAGGAACATCAGAAAAGCCTGGGTGCCGGACTAGGCCAAAGAGGACCATCTAATCCAGCCTCCTGTGCAAGCAGCAGCCTTCAGCTCACCTGGGATTCCCAGAAACTGGTATTCAGAGGCGTACTGCCTCCGACAGAGGACAGTGCCTAAGAGCAGGAGGAGAGACCTGCTTTTGGATTAGACCAAAGGGGCCCAACCTAGTCCAGCCTCCTGTTCTCACACTGGCCAACCAGATGCCTTAATGGGAAACCTGCAAGCAGGACCTGAACACAAGCACCTTCTGCACCTGCCCGTGGTCCCCAGGAACTGGTATTGCAGGACAGCAAGAAGGAAGGACACTCCCTCTTGCCCCGACTCTTGGTGAAACTGGATTTTAGGTGTACTGAAACAGGCACCCTGATTTTCTGTCTTGCTGGATAAAGTTTGGCTTCAGGGTGGGGAGGGGTTTCGGCCAAGGAAGGCTTGGCGTTTGAGTCTCCCTAAAGCAGAGTCCTCTCATCTTAAAAAGCAGAGACATCACCTTGCCAGCAAAGGTCCATATAGTAAAAGCTATGGTTTTCCCAGTAGTGATGTATGGAAGTGAAAGCTGGAGCATAAAGAAGGCTGATCGCCGAAGAATTGATGCTTTTGAATTATGGTGCTGGAGGAGACTCTTGAGAGTCCCATGGACTGCAAGAAGACCAAACCTATCCATTCTTAAGGAAATCAGCCTTGAGTGCTCACTGGAAGGACAGATCCTGAAGCTGAGGCTCCAATACTTTGGGCACCTCATGAGAAGAGAAGACTCCCTGGAAAAGACCCTGATGTTGGGAAAGATGGAGGGCACAAGGAGAAGGGGATGACAGAGGATGAGATGGTTGGATGGTGTTCTCGAAGCTACCAGCATGAGTTTGACCAAACTGCAGGAGGCAGTGGAGGACAGAAGTGCCTGGCGTGCTCTGGTCCATGGGGTCACGAAGAGTCGGACAACAAAACGTCTAAACAACAACAAACCAGAGTCCCACCTCCCTACTGGCTGGACCCAAGTTGGCTGGACCCAAGAGAGTTTCAGCCACTCCCATCCCCGCCCCAAGTTCTGTGAACAGTCGGGACATGCCAGGCACCTACCACCAAGACGCCAATGGAGGTCTCTGTCCCAGACATGGCATAGATGCCCTGATCCTTCAGGAAAGGGAAGGTCTTCTGCTCATGCAGCATCAGCCAGGCCCCGGCCGTCGAGGTGAGGTAGGGGATGTAGTCGTCTTGGCTGATGTCCAGGATCAGCTTCAGCCCTGGGCAAAGGGAGCAAAGACCAATCGTCAGCCTGCGGCCCCCAGCAAGCAGCGCGGGAGCTGGAATCGGCAGTGGGGGGTGGGCACAAAGAGAGACACAAAGTCCCCACCTGAGCCTCATTCTAGCTGCAACAGGCACCTTTGGAGAGGAGAAGAGAGGGCTTGGCTCTGTCTGGCCTGGCCTGGGGAGGACTCTGTGGTCTCTTCTAGTCTGGGGAGCAAAGCCGGCTCTGCCATTAGGCAGAGGGAGGTGGCTGACTCAGGCAGGAAAAAAAGAGAGCCATCAGGGCCTCAGGTGGCAAAATAACATGGACATTCTTTCATGCTGGGAGGGAAGACTCCCTTGGCTCTTCTGCCTCCAGGGACAAAATGTCTTAAGCCGGCCTTGCTGTTGGGGTGGCTGGTTGCCTGCCATGCACAGGCCTTGCAGGACTGCTTGGCTTCGGGGCAGAGCATTAGTTCAAACCTCTGCCAGGCATCTCCAGTGAAAAGGTCACAGGGCTGGGAAACAGGGCTGGGAAAGTTACAGGGAAGCAGGCAGAGGGCCTTCTTGGTAGTGGCACCCGCCCTGTGGAACGCCCTCCCACCAGATGTCAAAGAGAACAACAAATACCAGACTTTTATAAGACATCTGAAGGCAGCCCTGTTGAGGGAAGCTTTTAATGTTTGATGCATCACTGTATTTTAATATTTTGTTGGAAGCTGCCTAGAACGGATTAGGAACGCCCAGCTAAACAGCAGGTGCTTTCCCCATCACTCCCTCCACCTGGAGGCCTGGGAATCAGGCCCCTTTTCACGGTGGCACCCTAAGACTCCAGAGGGCCCCCCTCCTTCCTACCCAGAGGAACCTGCAAGGACATTCAGATTTGGAGGGGAAAAGCAAAGCCAGATGTCAGGGCTGCTCCTTTGCCTCTTCTGCGCTACCTACCAAACTCTGCGCCAGGATTGGAAGAGATGAGTGGCTTCTTCTCCACGCCCCAGTTGAAGATGTAGCAGTTGCCGTGGTCCGGGTGGTAGAGGTGGGTGAAGTTCCTGCAGAAGGAAGCCCAGGTGAGAAAGGGGGGGAGGGGTGCACATTTGGGAAGGGAGCAGTTCACTCAGCTTGCAACAAAACAAAACAAAACAAAACAAAACAAAACAAAACAAAACAAAACAAAAACCTTCTGGGGAGGGACCCTCTAATACACCAGTGGTCTCCAAACATTTTTGGGGAGGAGGGTCTCACCCCCTTGGTTCCATAAACTCCTCTCCGGTGCCCTCCACCCTAAATAAAGCATTATTCAGAATAGTGGTTTGCATGACCCAGTAAGGGAGATAATAACCCAATACAGTTTAAAACAGTCACACCCCTTGTGAAGTAGGAATGTGTGTTTATTCAACATGCAATTAAAACTAGTTTAATTCATTCAACAACATTGATGAACTTGATTCAGGGATACCAAGGTTTTCAGAGCACGATAGCCATTTAAACCTTCAGTCCCAACCCCCTGTTGCCCCTTTTCACACTTAGTACCCCCCCAGGGCAGTTCCACCCATTTTGGGGACCACTCTGCCACAGCCAACAGAAACAAAAACTTGCTATTTTTTGCGTCAAACCTTTCAGTGTCCAAAATGCCCTCTCCTGTCTGTCCAGACAAAGAATGGCTGAGAGATCAGGGTGACCTCCTGTAAAGAAGCGGGATTTGAGCCTGGGTCTTCCACTCCTGCACAAGGGGTCCGTGTAGTGTAGTGGTTAGAATGTTGGACCAGGACCTGGGAGACCAGGGTTCAAATCCCCACTCGGCCATGAAGCTCACAAGGTGACCTTGGGCCAGTCACTGCCTCTCAGCTTGACCTATCTCACAGGGTTGTTGTGATGATAAAATGTGGGGGAAGAGAACTATGCAGTGCTTTTTTTCTAAAAAAAAATAAAATGTTTAGGGGTACTCTCATTTTGTCTCAAGAAAACCACCATTTTATAGTTCGAATTGGGAAAAATAAATACAGTAAATGGACAAAAGTACAAAGATTCACAAAATGTTTAGGGGTATGCATACCCCTGCGTCCTGCCAGAATAAAAGCACTGGAACTATGTATGCCGCCTTGAGCTCTTTGGAGGAAAAAAGGTGGGGCATAAATGCAGTTCATCCATCCATCCATCCATCCATCCATCCATCCATCCATCCATGAATGACTGCTAATTCCTCTGTCCCCTGTCTGTATTTATCAGTGCCAAAAAAGCTGGTTGTAAATGATCAGAGCCAGCAGCCACCACCTCACTCTGCATCATATTATCGAGACACCAGTTGAGGAGGGTGGGGGGAGCTCTCAAAAACGCCCGAGCCAAAGACCCAAACCACAAACTGCAGCAGAAGGCAACCCCACCCTCCCCCACCAAGCTCCCTGAGCTACAAGCAACACCTGCCCCATCAAAACATCCTAAAGGGCTAAAAAGATATGTCAACTGCTATCTTGATGGCCTTTGGCCAAAGGGGTTTTCTTTCTCCTTTCTTGACAACAAAAGGAGCAGGGCCTGCCTTGAAGGTCAGGTGCATGTCGTCAGGCAAAACTTATTTGCTCACCTGATTTCTGGTCCTCACAAACAGAACCTGAGAGGTCTGGTGACAGACAGGCCTTGGGATAAAAAAGCAAATTGCAAACAAGAGAGCGAAGAGCCAAGTGGAGCAGAAGGAAAGTCAGGGATGCGCCAGTCGGGTGACATTTGGCTTTTGGCACTTGGAAGGGGGGTGAGGGGGTGGCTCTCAGCGAAATCCCAGACGTCACTCCAAAGAGAACGTCATTCTCAGCTAGAATGACGGGAAGCAGCGGGGTGGGGTCAGCCCTGGAGGAAAGGCCAAGGCCCCTTTAGGCTGCCTCCATGGAAAGACGGCTTCCAAGTCAAGGGGAGAGAGTTCAGCTCTTGTTCTGCAATAGAGCAGCCTCATCTGGACTCCTGGGTCCAGCGCTGGACACCACCCTTGAAGGACGCCAACAAAGAGCTTTAGAGAAGTGCAATGAAGATGGAAAACCAGTCCTGTGAGGGAAGGTTGAAGGAACTGGAGCATATTAAAAGGAATCATAGGATGGTTGGAAGGGACCCCCAGAGGTCATCTAGTCCAACCCCATGTGAAGTAGGAATCACAGCTAAAGAATCCTTGACAGATGGCCATCCAAGCTCTGCTTAGAAACCTCCAAGGAAGGAGACTGTGGGAGGCTGGGGAACAGGAGGTAGGGATACCTGTCCCATGGAAGAGGGGGGAAATGTGCCCTTTGGGCAAAATAAAGTGGGCTTGAGTTACAGGATAGATCTCAGAAGGGCAGCAGAAGACACATCGGGGGCCTCTAGGTCTGTGTCGCTATTTTGCAGGAGGGATTCAAGAGCAGACAAGAGCTTTAGGTTGGTGCTATTAAGGCGGATCTGAGTGCTCTGCCTCCCTGGCACAATGTCCAGTTTAAAAAAAGAGAAGAGAGGACTTTTTGCAGTTATTTAAATGGTGGGTAAATACGTTGAAAAGTGTGGGGTGATTGATGGAAGCCTGCAAACCAGGATTAAGGATTTGTTTTGTTGTGTAACCGCCCCATAAACAAATTAGAGGGAACACTCAGTAAAGACCGGGCTGAGTCCAACCACTGTGCCAGCTTTGTGCAAGCAAATAAAGTCAAGAGGTCGTCTGGAGGATGAAAAGAGCAATTTGACCCTGACCTGAGAAAGAACTGAGATGGAGCGTGGACTCTCCCTTGCTGGAACTCCACAAGCCCAGGCCAGAGAGCCAGGGTTCGGGGAGGTTCTTGTTCTGCATTTGCAGCATTAACTGAGCGGGGTGGGGTGGACTCGTAATCTGGGGAACCGGGTTCGCGTCCCCGCCTCTCACCCAGCAGCTTCTGGGTGACCTTGGGCTAGTCACACTTCTCTGAAGTCTCTCAGCCCCACTCACCTCACAGAGTGTTTGTTGTGGGGGAGGAAGAGAAAGGAGAATGTTAGCCGCTTTGAGACTCCTTCGGGTAGTGATAAAGCGGGATATCAAATCCAAACTCCTCCTCCTCCTCCTCTTCTTTTTCTTCTTCCTCAAAGACCCCTCCAGTTCTAGAATTGTCCCTGTGGAAGTCTGACTCCAAAACAGGATCTGCCCACAAAGTTTTCTCCCTCTCTCCTAACAGTAGAATTCATGGAAGTGGAATGTTGGAAGATTCTGGACAGATAAGTCCTTCCCACAGCACACAGTTGAGCACTGTGAGAACAGGAGTCTGGACTAGACAGGGCATTGGCCAAATCTGCCATTGCACATCAGGAGAATGTCTACTCCATTGCCCCAAAGCTTGTGGGGTGAAGGGGAAGGCAGAGAGAGCAGTTTTGAGGCTTCTTTGAACCGCCTTTGTAGGAGATATGTGTGCAACAAGGACAGGGGCTGAGGGGGCCGTGATCCTCCCTGCGTTGCTCTTATGTGACAGGAGCTGCAGTCACAGCCAATGTGGGCAGAGCACAGTACCGGCTGGCAGATGTGCAGGGAGCCAGTAGGAAGCCCTTCTCGTTTTGGCTAACAGAGAGAGGAAATGAGTCCTGCGCTTCTGTGAGTTCCAGAGTTCTGGCCAGTGGCCAGGTGAGCCTGACTGCAGCAAGCCCAGGTCAGCCCGCCTAGCCTGGGGCTCTGATAACCAATCTGTTAACCAATCTGTTCCTGGTTTAATTAAATAGCCCCAAGTGTTTGCTGATTGATAATTAGCCGCAATGTACTGGACATGGGTGACTCAGCAGCAGGGAAAGAAAACCCTCCATCTACAGAGCAAGCCAAGCCATTCTTCATCTTTCAGATGCAGGCAGCGAGCAAACTTTGCAGCTACATAGAAGCCTTCTTCAGTGTCCCAAGCAAGACCAGATTGCTGATTAATTCTTAGTCCTTGTATACAAAAGCAGAAATCCTTCTCATTACCATGCAACATTACCAGGTTGACATCAGCCGGGACGTGGAACATCGCTCTTAAATTTTATTATGATTCCTCTGGCTATGAGCATCTGTGTCTGAAAAAGGCTTCTGTGCAATCTGAAAGGTCACACGCCAAGCATTTTTACCATTAGCCAATCCAACAAAAAGAGAGTTTTGCTTCTCCTGCTGGATGGGACTCATGCAACAGCTGAAATATTGGGCCAAAAGTTGTGTCCATTTCAAGGCGGGGGCAGAGGTGGCGGCGGCGGCGGCAGATTGTCCATTGGAAGCTGACCAAGACTTGCATTCCTTTCAGCGATTCTGCAAACTGGTCTTATTTCCTCTGGCCTCTAAGCTTCTAAGGGTCTAGGATTTTAGGTCTATTAAAATCTGATTCCAGTACACTGGATGTCATTTTTCAGACAGTAATCTACCTGAAACCTTGAGACTGGGCTAGAAATTTAATTAAATCAAATCAGGCTATTGGTGCCAGTAAGAAGCACTAAGGCAGCAGTGGGAGTGGGGTGGAGCAGGATGGGACAGCTCCTTAAATCCACCCTCCGCACACACATCCAGCCATCTCCTCTGAACTAGGAAACAGCTCTAGCCTTTGCCATCCGGGCACCCTCCAGCTGTTTTGCACCACAACTCCCAGGTGCACTGGCAAGGGCTGATGGGAGCTATAGTCCACATCAGCTGGAAGGCCCTAGACTGGTGGAGTCTGCTGTAGATCAACTGTGCAGTACCACCCTTGGATTTCGGGTGCAATTTGAGCCAAGGAAGGAATGGAAATTATTGATATTTCCCTGCAGATCTTACACACATTTCATAGCTTGCACATGTTATCTTGTACTGCAGATCTGGTGATTCACGGAGGAGACACAGCTATCAATGGCTACTAGCCATGATGGGTATGTTCTGCCTCCACTGTTGGAGGCAATATGCCTCTGAGTATCACCTGTTGAGAATCACAGGTGGGGAGAGCTGTTGCTGCCAGGTGCTGCTCGCTGGGAGAATGCTGGACCAGGCTGGGCCTTACTGGTCTGATCCAGCAGCTGGGGCTCAGGGTAACTCCTTTCCTGCTGTGCATCGGATTTTTCATGCAGCTGCCCCCACCATTCTGCTCAAGCTCAGAATCAAACAAACCCCTGTGTTGCAAAGAGAACGTTGGCAATGTGCAGGCAACACGATGACCATAACAAGTCCAAAAATGAAATCTTTAGTCTCAAAGTCTCTGAAAATCTTTAAATGAAGCGAGGTACCAAACTTTGTACGATGAAAGACAAGCTGTGAAGCTTTGTGTATTCAGCAAATATGATGTCCAACACTGAACAGTGATTCCGGATCTAGACTACTGTTTTGTAGAATTCTTCGTCAGCATGGTGGGAGGATATAGAATTGCTTCATAAACTCATCTTATTTCGAATGAATGTATGTAAATGAAAATATCAAATGCTGTGACTACATTATTACATGAGCACTGTTCCACAGCATTTGATATCCGTACAAAGTTCGGTACCTCACTTCATTTAAAGATTTTCAGTTAAACAAAAACACGGCAAGGTCCCCCCGGATACCTACTTGTAATTGCAAGGCTCTGCTCCAAACAGACAGGCCAGGATCATTTCCTCTGCCTTGTAGCCTATCTCAATCCTCTCTCTCTCTGTCTTCTGGGACAAGATGCTGGTGGACTGCAAGACGTACCACTCGGTCACTGCCTGGGCTGCGCTGGTGAAGTTCCGGTAGGTGCAACTGGTGCCGTTATTGGTGCACTTTGAGCAGAATTAGAGAGTGGTGAGGGAGAGAAGCAAAAGGAGGCACGTTTTTGCAGAAGAGATCACTAAATGGAACCTCTATGTTCAGGGGCAGCTGGAGTCACAGGAGAAGGGACCTATGTCAGAGGCACAGCACCTGCTTGGCATGCAGAAGGTCCTAGGTTCAGACTCTGACATCATCTCCAGGTAGGTCTAGGAGTCTTGCCTTGAACTCTGGGGAGCCATTGCTGCCAGTTAGTGCAGACGATGCTGAGTTAGATGGACCAGCAGTCCAGCTTCCTGGGTTCTAATGAGCTTTCAAATGAATGAATGGAGGAGTCAGCTAGCAATGGCTATGGGTCATGCTGCACCTGGGAACTGCAGGTGAGGATCTCCTGTTGCCCTCAGGGCCTGCTTGTAGATTCTTCCTGTTGCTGCTTCTGGTTGACCCCCCTTTGGCCTGATCCAGCACTGCAGGGATTGCCTGATTTTGTTAGCTGCTGCCTGCTTGTGGCTTTATCAGAGGCACCTGACTAGGTGAGATGACGGACCCACCCCTTCGAATGGAGGTGCTACAAAGAGGGCCAAAAACAGCTGTGGGGAAGGCTAGAGACAGCAGCAGCTTCTTCTCCTTTGCTTCCGGTTTCAGACATCCAGGGTTCATAAGGACTTAAGAAGAGCTGGCTGGATCAGGCCAAAGGCCAGCATCCTGTTCTCACAGTGGCCAACCACTGTGGCTCATGTGAAACCTGCAAGCAGGAACTAAGCACACAAGCAACACTTGGTTCCCGTGGCTTTTAGCAACTGGTATTCAGAGGCACTGCCATATATAGAATATAGAGGCAGAGCATATCCATTGGTAGTCATCACTTCCTCCTGCGGGAGGGAGTTCCATTATTCAACTATGCATTGCATGAAGAATTTCTCTGTCACACGGTGACATGTTCCCAGTGTTCCCCCTCTTTCGCCTGGGACAGAGCAGGATGACTCAGTGGTGCCCCTCCCCTCCCCACCTACTGGTCCCCCCCACCTCCATTGGTCCCATGGGCCCCCCTCCCCTTACCAGCTTTAAGGCCAGCTTGCAGTTCTTGCCATCTAGGTTTGCAAAAGAGGAGTGGTTCCCGAGGATGTCATAGATGACTGGATGAGTCTTGTTGCTTTCATCAATGAGCATTAGGGGGATCTGGTTCCACAGCTGCATGTTCAGATCCTGGCTGGAGTTTGTTGGGCTAGACACAGTCATGTTCTCGTTGGGAGGCTGCAGGATTCGGTCAAGGGCGGCGTCAATGAGGTTGTCCAACTCCTGCAAGTAGGGCTTTGCTTTGGAATATCTGGAAAGCAACCATCCCTAAGTTTAGTTCTCCCCATTCGCCTGTGAATGTCATGAAAATGCAACAATATCGTGGTGCAAATTTCTTCTCATAGGCACATTTTTGCAATGCCATTTCCCACAATGCATTCTGGTATAATAATAATAATAATAATAATAATAATAATAATAATAATAACTTATTATTTATATGTCCTTTTCACTGTATGAATTGCATTTATTCACACACTTTATCCTTGTCTGTGCACTTCTATGCACATTATTTGGCTGCAGAACTAAATTTCAAATGGGGACAAATGTGAATTTCAAGGGGCGGCTGTGTTTCAGCCCCACACACTGTTTCAGAAAGTGGAAATCTAGCCTGTTCACCTTTGAATGCCAATTCCTCCCACCCTTGGTCCCCACTAGTGGTAACTACTGCAGAAATCCCACCCTCAGGTCAGGGATAAAGTGGCAGGGAGGGAAGGCTAGATTAGGGAGTGGTATTTCCACGAGCAAGTTGATCCTGGGGATAATTTTTCCTGGAATTTAGGAAGGGGCTGGCTGAGAGTTAGGGTCCTCCTCCTCCTCTCTGATGCCCAACTCCTTTAGGAGAAATCTTTTCCACTTCTGACTTTCTCTAAAAGCTGCCAATTCCAGCTAAATTACCAACATCCTCCATCCTATGACCCTTGAGACACCCAAACCTCCCATCAGCCCCAACCAGCACAGTCATAGCAAGATGTGGAAGGTATAAGCTGTAGCCCCAAACTCCTGGAGGGCACCAGGTTGGGGGGGGGAAGGCTGCCCTAAAACATAACACATTTCCCTGGGCATCCCTGCTCTTGCCACATGGGTGCCAACTGCTTTCCAACTGCTGGGGTGTACGCTGACCGTGAACTTTTGCCTTCAAAGGTCCAAGGCAGATAGTTTTTATGCACAGGAATCCCCAGAATGAAAAGTCTGTTCTGCAGCATTCCAGAGGATAACCCTTGCAAGCAGTGAGAGCAGCAGATCCTACAGCCATGCTGCCCAAGGGAGGATGGCTCCTCAGGTGCAGCCATGTGGGTAGACTTCAGGAGCTGCCGCCCTTTGGGGTTCAAGTGGCATCTCTTAATCCCAACTAATTTAGCACATAAAAACAAAAGAGCGACCTGGAAGCTGCATAAGGCCAGAGGGGGATCGTCTAGTCTAGCATCCTGCCCCAATGGGAAACCACCCCAGGCAGGACCACTGACCTAAGAACATAAGAAGAGCCTGCTGGATCAGGCCAATGGCCCATCTACTCCAGGGTCCTCTACTCTCAGTGGCCAGGCAGATGACCCAATGGGAAGCCCACAGACTGGAAATAAGCATGACAGCACTCCTCTCCCCACCTGTGATTCCCGGAAATCGGTGTGATTCGGAGGCATAACAGCCTCCAACCGTGGAGGGAGAAGAAGAAGAAGAAGAAGAGGAGTTTGGATTTGATATCCCGCCTTTCACTCCCTTTAAGGAGTCTCAAAGCGGCTAACATTCTCCTTTCCCTTCCTCCCCCACAACAAACACTCTGTGAGATGAGTGGGGCTGAGAGACTTCAGAGAAGTGTAACTGGCCCAAGGTCACCCAGCAGCTGCATGTGGAGGAGCGGAGACGCGAACCCGGTTCCCCAGATTACGTGACTACCACTCTTAACCACTACACCACTGGGAGAACCTACTTGTTGTGGCTAGTAGCCATTAATCTGTGTAAGCCATCTAGGTTGGTGCCCATCACTGCCTCCTGTGGCAAGGAGCTCCATAGTTTCACTCTGCTCCGTATGAAGAAGTCCTTTCTCCATCTCCCACCATACAGCTTCACTGGGTGACCCTGCTGGGTTCTAGTATTACGAGGGAGGAAGTTCTCCCTCTCCACTTTGTCCCGCAGTACACAAAGCTTTATAGAATCCTAGAACTGTAGACTTGAGAGGGACCCTCAGGGTCATCTAGTCCAACCCCCTGCAATACAGGAGCCACAACTATGCACCTCTGTCTCACACACAGCCTTACTTGCCTTTTTTTTCCAAACTAGAAAGCCCACATAACACCTGTTTCAGACAAGGCTGCCCAGATGGGCAGCGGCAACCCAGTCAGATAGGCAGGGTACAAATAATAAAATCATTATTATCAACACTTGGCAGACCAGCTGCAAACCTCCAGATCAAGGGTGCAGAAGCTGTGGGTTGTTGGACTCCAACTCCCATCATCAAGCCCCATCCCTGGGGGGTGATGGCAACTGGAGAAGCAATGATACTCCTGATCTAGACTGTCTAGAGCAGCCTTTCTCAACCTGGAGGTCCCCAGATGTTGTTGAACTACAACTCCCATCACCCCTAGCTAGCAAGGCCAGAGGTCAGGGATGATGGGAGTTGTAGTCCAACAACATCTGGGGACCCACAGGTTGAGAACCGCTGAGATTCCACCCCCCATGCTGGACTGCAATATTGGATGCCCGCCTTGCGGTGAGTCCGAGGACATTTGTCCTGAAGCAGCTCACCTGTATGGGCTTGCATTGCAGATGGTGACGGCAGGGAAGGTCATGGTCTTGAAGCCAATGGCAAGGGAGGCAGAGACACCGTAGCTCAGGTATGTTAGGATGAGGGACCCCCAGTTCCAGAAGACCAGGGAGGCAAAGAGCAAGGTCAGTAGGAACCAGATGACTTTCTTCTTGGGTCCCTCGCGGATGATGCGCTTAGGCCCGTGGGTGTTGGTGTTATCGCAGTACCAGACCAGCAGCTCTTTGTAGGTGTAGCCGGGACCCTTCTGGAGGCGATGGAGAGCCTTCACAAAGTACCGCTTCAGGGTCATTTTGGGCTCTGTCATTGGAGGAAACAGGAGCCCGTTAACAAAAACCGTCTGAAAAAACAACACCCAGAGTTGCCATGCAATGCAAAGTTGGCATCTTCCACCTGGCACTACAGGAAACGGTTCAGGGTTTGTGGTTTGAAGCAGACATCGTCCAGTCCCCATCATGGGATAGAGGCCTGCTAATTTTTAAATTAGTTTTAAATGTTCAGGGATCTCAGGGTTGCCAAGGACAGTGTCCTTCCACCATCAGAGGCCTAGGTAAACAGGAATACTTTCATATTCCTTCTGAAAGTCAACAATGTGGGAGAGCATTCTATTAAACAGGGAGCCACTGCTGAAAAGTCCCTGTCATGGGTTAACACCAACCGGTAGAAACCACCAACATTGGTAGAAACCACTTAGAGTCTCCTTTGAAGTACAACCCAGTATATAAAAAATAACTAAATAAATAATTTGTCCTTGACAGGGATGGAGATGGGTCAGAACCGGAGCAGGGGGGTATGAAAAATCTACCAGGAATTTGTTCTCCATAAACCTCATTGAAATGAACGGGAACTGGACAGTGGTGCCAGGCCTGGTGGATTGGGGCCCCTGCTGGAGTCATCGAGGAGGAAGTCAAGTGCCCTGTGGATCTTCCACTTAAGGCACCAAATGTTTTGGTCAACCCTGGATTTAGATTTTGCCAGAATGATTCATATTTGCTCTCTGGAAAGCAGGAGATATTCCTGCCACTCCTTTCTATGCAAACCCATGCAGGTGGGCAAAGCTCTTTCCCCACCATCTGTACAGGGGAGCAGACTATGGCCTGCCAAGGCCTGGCTGCCACAGAAAACCAATTCCCTGTGAAGTGGTGGCCATTTTAGCCTTCACGATGAAGAGCCAGGGAGTTAGGGTGTCATAAGCCAGAGCAACACTTCCACAGGACTCCTCAGGCTGCTTCCAGACTGTTCTCCAGGGCAGCCAATCGTAGACCAGCCAATTCAGGTTGCACAGTTAAAGTAGTGGGTTGGGTGCTCTCACGCAATCCCCAAAATCCCAAACTTTTTGCAGCAAGGGAGGCGAGGGGGAAAGGGAATGGAAAGTGTAGGTTAACAACTGCTTGACATTGTGTAAAGGACAGAAGAAGAGTTCTGCTGGATCAGGCCACCATCTAGCCCAGTATCCTGTTCTCACAGTGGCCAACCAGAAGTCCAAATGGGCAACTGAAGAGCAACCTCCCTACAAATGAATGCTCGATAAACAATCAACTTTGTGCCAATGAAACAAGATGAATGGCCGGTAAACAGGTCACCCGGAACTGGTCTCAGGCACAAAGAAGACATGGTGGAGTTATGGGGAGGAAGGAAGAACAGACCCTGAAAATGTCCCTATTTTCCAGGGATGTCCCTGATTTAGAGAAGCCGTCCCAGCCTCTGATTTGATCCTGGAATGTCCCGCTTTTCCTTAGGATGTCCCTATTTTCATTGGAGAAATGTTGGAGGGTATGGAAAAAGAGCTGGACTGTGTCCCCCCCTCCACTTATCCCCTCCCAACTACTTTCACCCGTGTTTGGCAACAGGTCTCAGAATCTGCAGGAGGACACAAATGATTCCAAGCTCCCTTTGGGGCACCTTCCAATCCTCTGTGACTTGTTAGGGGTGCAGCTTTCATGGTCTCTAGAGACCCTCCCTCCTGCCCAGTGGAAGCATGGAACATAGCTGCCCCCGCCCCCCAGCAGGCCTCTGCTCTCCTGGAGGCTGAAGGAGGAAGATTCCTCCCAGGCAAGAAAGAGCTGCCTGGCAGGGGCAGGACCAGAGGTTATGTTTTTCAAATACTTTCGCCTTTAAGATACCATCGGTACATTTTGTTCTGCCGATGGAGGGCTGCGGCGGAGTTTGCATTGGCCTCGCGAGTCCTAAAAGGCACGCCTTGTACTCCTCTAGCATGCCAAGGATGCATATTTCTGAATCGGTCGATCCCAAGGTGGAATGTCGAAACGAGAGAGAAAAGAGAAACCCATTGAGTGCTTAGACAACGGTTTGTAAGGTGTAAGGGCTCATCCACACTGACCTTTTGCCCTGTTCTTTCCAGGCACAGGCCTGCAATTTTAAGCACACTTTTTCATTTTTGCTCCAGAGCTTTCCCGGCAGAAACCCACTCTTTAAAACTGAATTGGATTGCCATTTGCTCTGATTTAAAGAGTGGGTTTTCGCAGGGAAAGCCAAAGGGGGGGGGGCACACTCAGACATAGAGCTTTCAAGTGCAGACCGTGGCTGGAAAGTAGAGAGGAAAGGAAAGTGTGGATAAGCCCTAAGAGATGAAGCCAGAGCTAATCTGAGCAAGGCCAGCAGGGCTCAATGACAGGACACCTGCTTGGCATGCAGAAGGTCCCAGGTTCTGTCCTCAGTGGCAGCTCCAAGTAGGGATGGGAATGCCCCTTGTCAGAAACCCTGGAGAGTCACTGCCAGGCTGCACAGATCTTCGTCTTCTTTGGCGATCACTCGTAGCCAAGATTGTCTTCCATGAACACGGTTTTAACAGTGAGTCTGTAAGTGACTGTGGAGGCCAATTCTGGATCCACATGTCCTTCCACAGTTGGGACAGGTTTCAGGGCAGGAGTTGATCATGGCAGAGGCGGAGCGGCGCACATGCTACACACCTGGGGGCGGGGCGAGCCGCCCACGGGTGTGGCATGGCGAGTGTCCCATGGGGGCGTGGCAGCGAGCACAGGGTTGGCGCCTCCCACGGGGGTGGCGTGGAGATGTCACCCCCCTCAGGGATGACACCCAGGGCGGCCCTCACCCGCCCACATCCCCTTCCTCTGCCAGTGGATCATGGTGAGGGGTTGCCAAGCGTGCCTTCCTCTTAGTACGTTTCTCCCTTGCGTCCTGAGTTCGAGCGTCTTCAAAGCCCATGACACCTTTGGTAAAGGCTGTTCCCCAATTGGAGCGCTTGCAGGCAGTGTTTCCCAGTTGTCGATGTTTAAACTATATTTTTTAGATTTGCCTTGAGAGAGTCTTTAAATCTAGTTTGTTGACCACCAACATTATGCTTTCCATTTTTAAGTTTGGAATAGAGTAGTTGCTTTGGAAGACGATAAGCACAACATGACCAGTCTAACGAAGTTGATGTTGAAGAATCATTGCTTCGAAACTTGTGATCTTTGCACTGGCATTAGTTTGCATGTCTTCCCAAGTGATAATATGGAGTTAGATGGACCAGGGGTCTCACTCAGTTTCCTATGTCCTGGTTTAAATCAGCCCTTTATTTAGAACAATGAGAACTGGAACCTTGTGTTGTTTTTAAAGGAAAGAACCATAGCTCAGTGGAAGTAGAGTATTGCTTTTCACACACAAAAATCCTAGGTTGAATCCCCAATATCTCCAGGTGGAGCTGGGAATGTCCTCTGTCAGACATGCTGGAGAGTTGCTGCCAGTCAGTGTTGGCAATACTGCACTAGATGGAAGCAAGTCAGCTTCCTATCTTCTCTTTGATGCGGCAAAGAAGACCCTGTGGAGAGAAGCAGCTGTGGGGACTTTCATTCTTACAGGGTCCCATTCTTGTCCATTTCTGATATGTTAGCCCAGGAGGCAACAAGGTCTTGGATCTTAAAGTTCTTCCCAATGTTTAGTCAGAATCTCCTTTCCTGTAATTTGAATCCATTGGCTTGATCCTACCCTCTGCAGTGGCAGAAAAGAAGCTTGTGTCATCTTCCATGTGGATTTTTGAAGATGACTATCAAATCAACTCCCAGTCTCTTCTCCAGGCTAAACTCTCTCAACCATTCCTCAATGGCCTTGGTTTCCAGCAGTGTTAGAAACTCAGAGATATAGGCTAGGCACCAAATGGCTCTTTAAACCAGGGTTTCAACTGCCAAAAGGGAATGCCTAGTTGCCATTTTGGGGCCAGATGGCTTGAAAGTCATATTTTCAATAAGACTTTTTTGGCTCCTGAAATTCATTCTGATTGTGCAGATAAAATATAATGGATAGAATTCTACAGGATGTGTTGCTAGTGTGTGAAAAGGGTCAAGATCCCAGGATCCCCAGGATGCACCTCCAGATGGTGGAGAGGTCAGGTGACATCCTGGCATCCGGGCATCTTCACTTGGTTGCAAGTGGCCGATAGCACAGGTACATAATGTGCCTGGTACCTGGTGAATTTTGAATGTTGATTTCCAGACCTTGATTAACTTGGTCTCTCTTTACAGATAGGTAGCCGTGTTGGTCTGCCATAGTCAAAACAAAAAAAAATCCTTCCAGTAGCACCTTAAAGACCAACTAAGTTAGTTCTTGGTATGAGCTTTCGTGTGCATGCACACTTCTTCAGATACACCAAGAACTAACTTAGTTGGTCTTTAAGGTGCTACTGGAAGGAATTTTTTTTGTTTTGGTCTCTCTTTGAACACCTTCCAGCTTGTCAATATCTTTCTACAACTATGGTGCCCAGAACTGGACATAAGATTACAGGTGGGGACTGTTCATCTTCTCAGATATCTATCTATCTATCTATCTATCTATCTATCTATCTATCTATCTATCATCTATATCTATCTATCTATCTATCTATCTATCTATCTATCTATCTATCTATCTATCTATCTATCTATCTCTATCTATCTATCTATCTATCTATCTATCTATCTATCTATCTATCTATCTATCTATCTATCTATCTATCTATCTATCTATCTATCATCTATCTATCTATCATCTATCTATCTATCTATCTATCTATCTATCTATCTATCTATCATCTATCAATCTATATCTATCTATCTATCTATCTATCTATCTATCTATCTATCTATCTATCATCTATCTATCTATCTATCTATCTATCATCTATATCTATCTATCTATCTATCTATCTATCTATCTATCTATCTATCTATCTATCTATCTATCATCTATCTATCTATCATCTATCATCATCTATCTATCTATCTATCTATCTATCTATCTATCTATCTATCTATCTATCTATCATCATCTATCATCTATCTATCTATCTATCTATCTATCTATCATCTATCTATCATCTATCTATCATCTATATCTATCTATCTATCTATCTATCTATCTATCTATCTATCTATCATCTATCATCTATCTATCTATCTATCTATCTATCTATCTATCTATTCTATCTATCATCTATCTATCTATCTACAGTGGTACCTCGCAAGACGAATGCCTCGCAAGACAAAAAACTCGTTAGACGAAAGGGTTTTTGTTTTTTTGAGTTGCTTTGCAAGACGATTTTCCCTATGGGCTTGCTTCGCAAGACGGAAACGTCTTGCAAGTTTGTTTCCTTTTTCTTAACACCGTTAATACAGTTGCGACTTGACTTCGAGGAGCAACTCATAGCACGCGGTGTGGTAGCCTTTTTTGAGGTTTTTGAAGACTTTGGTGATTTTTGAAGCTTTTCCAAAACTTTTCCGACACCGTGCTTCACAAGACGAAAAAACTCGCAAGACGAAAAAACTCGCGGAACGAATTAATTTCGTCTTGCGAGGCACCACTGTATCTATCTATCTACCTATCTACCTATCTATCTATCTATCTATCTAATCTATCTATCTATCATCTGTCTATCTATCTATCTATCTATCTATCTATCTATCTATCTATCTATCTATCTATCATCTATCTATCTATCTATCATCTATCTATCTATCATCTATCTATCCCGGCCTTCATCCAAGGATCACAGGGTGGTTTACAATATAAAAACACAAAAATACATAGTGACAAACAAAAATAAACCTCCTCTCCCAGTTTAAAAGCCATGTTTAGTTAGTCAAAGGCCTGGGAGATGAGGAATGTTTTTGCCTGGCGCCTAAAGATATGTAATGAAGGCACTGGGTGAACCTCCCTGGGGAAAGAACTCTACAAATGGGGAATCACCACAGAAGAGGCCAGATAACTCCCAGATAAACACACCCAATTCTTCACCTGTTCCTCAGAGGTCTTGTTTTTTTCCATAATGCTGACCATCTTTGTTGCTAAACAATCAGGAGCTGAATCCCGCCTTGGTCTCCTGCAGATCCTCATCTCTCGCTGCCCTGCCCCAAATTGCTCTTTCATAGAGCCAGATGGAGATTCCTCCCCTCCCCCAGGGGCCATCTTCTTGTTCTTCTGTATGCAAACCCCATTAGAGAAGAATGAACTCAGGTTGAAGCAAACACACTCAGACTCTGCTAGGCAAAGGCTGCCATGCCAGGCGCTCTGGGCGCGGGTGTTTGTTCCCGGATGAGTCACTCATCTCCCCAGAGGGCAAATGGGGATGCTGTGTAGCTAACGAGAGGTGGCCAGGAGCCCACGTTACCTTTGGCAAAGCACCAGCACACTTCCTGGGTGCCTTTGATTTTCCCAACCATGAACGCACACACTGCAAAACCTGACGGCGGCATGTGCAGAAAATGCAAGCTGGCTTGTGAAAAAGCACAAGGCAAAGGGGGAGGGCCGTAGCTCAGTGGCAGAGCAGCTGCCTTGCATGCAGAAGGGCACAAGTTCTATCCCCAGGTGGGGCTGGGAGAGAGAGTCCCCCTGCCTGGAACCCTGGAGAGCTGCCATTGTCAGGGCTCATCCAATAATTCCAATGGATTGCTGAATATTGCTTTATTGGATATATGTTGTTTACTTTAAAGTTACTGCGACTTTTTTGTATTGGGTCCAATTGTTATTAGGTGTGTGATATTTGCTGTGTATTTTGTTGTTTCTTCACCTTGTTTATAGTAAGTGGTACTTTGGTTCTCAAACTTAATCCGTTCCAGAAGTCCGTTCCAAAACCAAAGCGTTCCAAAACCAAGGCACGCTTTCCCATAGAAAGTAATGCAAAATGGATCAATCCTTTCCTGACTTTTAAAAACAAACCCTAAAACGGCAATTTAACATGAATTTTACTATCTATCGAGACAATTGATCCATAAAATGAAAGCAATAAACAATGTACTGCAGGCACACAATCAATCAATCAGTAGCTGAACTGGGTTCCACACAGTCACAAAAACAAAACAAAAAGCCGCAAAAACAAAGACACAAAATAAATAGCAAAAACAGACAGACCTCAGCGTAACACTCAAAATGGAGCACGTTCGGCTTCCAAAAAAAAGTTCGCAAAAGGGAACACTTACTTCCAGGTTTGCAGTGTTTGGGTTCCAAGTTGTTTGAGTACCAAGGCGTTTGAGAACTGAGGTACCGCCATATAGAAAGGTGGGATACAAATTAAAAGTGAAATGAAATCCACACTTCATTTCTAGGTACTGCTCCACACTTTCCCAGTCCATGTCTGAGCATTTTGGGGGGTGCGTGGTTTGCCATGACATTTCCCCCACGAAACAGGCTTTAACGCTGAACGGCAATTTGGGATTTATGTGGATTTATTTTCAGCAGTTTGACCTAACTGCGGGAGGCAGTGGAAGACAGAAGTGCCTGGCGTGCTCTGGTCCATGGGGTCACAAAGAGTCGGACACGACTAAACGACTAAACAACAACAACATTTTCAGCTGTAAAGAGCAGGTTTTCACAGAGAAAGCAACAGGGCCAAAAATAAATAAAAATAAATAAAGTGCTAGGAGATGGAGCTTTAAAACATGGGCCCGTACCTAAAAATGAAGCACAAAAGGAAGTCTGGATGAGCCCTCCGCGTAGAGACTACTGAACTAGATGGACCAAAGGTCCAGCTCAGTAGAAGGCAGCAGCGTCCAATCATGCTGTCATCTCAGGGACTGCACCAAAGTCAAGCCAGGCTAAGACCCGCTGCTCCCTGAGGCTGGGAAGAAAGGCCTCTCCACCTTGGTCATGGGCACTGCAGGCCCAGGGAGCGGAACGGGTGTCTGCAGACGGCACACGGAGTCCGATCGGGAGGCATTTGCAATCTCCAGCCTGGCAGCCCGGCTGAGTGGCAGGGAGCCAGTGGCGGAAGCCAGAAGCAATGCGCTGTGACCAGGCAAAGGAAACATTTGCCGGGCATGCAGAATCTGTGCTACAATTGGCCGCAGTTTTGCTTTTGTGGAGAACACCTGCAAAGTCAGCTGCCGTTGCATGTGTTTGGCAAACTCTGACCCAGCAGGATGAATCTTTAGGCTTCTTTCTTTGTGCAAACAGCAGTGTGTGTGTGGGGGGGGGGGGGCTACGGCTCTTGTCCAGTCTAGGAAGACTTGCATAGAGGCACTACACATTTTCAAAAGCCAGAAGTGGAAAAATTATGGAGGACACGTTCCGCCTCACCCATCTCCCTGATGTGGAAAGAGAGATGATTGCAGGAGGAAGCAGGGGCGTAGGAAGGGGGGGCTGTGGGGGAGACCGCCCTGGGTGCCCTCACTGAGGGGGGTGACAAGCCTACCCTGAGCCGTGGGGTTAGTGGGGGAGCTGTGCCACTCTGTCGGCAGCAGTGGCGTAGGGTGGGTTGTCAGCACCCGGAGCAAGGCAAGTAATTTGCGCCCCCTAACCTGTGGATTTGCGCCCCCTAACCCGTGGATTTGCGCCCCCTAACCCGTGGATTTGCGCCCCCTAACCCCCAGATGTTGCGCCCGGTGCGGCCGGCCCCCCCTGCACCCCCCATGCTACACCACTGGTCGGCAGCATTCCCTCCTTCCCACTTAGTTTTGACAGCTTGGGGGAGGCTTGGAAGTTATGGGCGGGCAGCGCGCTGAATGTCCACCATGGGCGGCGCGCTCTGCTCTCGTGTGCTGCTCGCTCCGCCTCTGGCTGCAGGGCGTGCACGTCACTCCAGACACCCAAGCGGCTATCCTGGGAGGGCACCCTCCACACCATGTCCCCCTTGGGAGCGCACCTACCCTGGGCAGCATAGATATATGCTCCGCTGCTGGAAGGAAGCCCATTCAGCTGGGTCTACAGCACTACTGTAAGACCATCCCAGCCCTGATTTGCTCCTTTGGCAGAGCTGGGACTGGCATTTTTTGAGTCCTTGGCAGATATCAGCAGCCAAGGAGCTTGGGGGGCTGGCAGACTAGGAAGCTGCCCCATTCTTGCAGGCCCTCAGGTGGCAAAGGGCCCACCTCCATCCCTCCCCAGGAGACCGCGGGGCGAACGGACAAGAAGGCAGGGGAGGATATCTGGCAAGATCCAGCGGTGGAATGGAGCAGAGCCAAAGCCTCACCATTAATTCCATGGCAGGGACAACCACATCTTCTCCCAGATCACAGCCAATCCACTGCATGCCAATTAAGTCAGAAGCTGTTCTCAGAGAGATGCCCCACTCACGGAAGCTAAGCAGGCGCAGGGGGAATCAATTCCATCAGCACACACGGCCAAGGGTTCAAGCGCACCTTCTAGTTTAAGAAAATCCCAAAGCCGCTTTCTTAGGACCAACAGAAATGCTGCAGAATAACTGAGCAAGCTTTTGGGTCCACCAGATCTCTTCCACAGGCTGGAAGTTAATGAAAGTGGAAGGGATGAAAGAATTGGGTGTTCAAGCCACTGTGTCTGCCCAGGCCAAAAGCACCTTTTTGTTGTGTAGGCTTAGAAGGGAACCTGTGCTGGAGCGCACCCACACCTCAGAATTGGGAAGGGGACATAGCTCAGTGGCAGAGTTATCTGCCTTGCAAGCAGAAGGTCCCAGGTTCAATTCTTGACGGCATCTCCTGGTGGAGTTGGGAGTGACTCCTGCCTGAAATTCTGGAGTGCAGCTGCCAGTCAGTGTGGACAATGCTAGCTAGAACAATGGTCTGACAGTATGGCAGCTTCCTATATTCCTAATTTGCTTCTACACGCCACTGGTGAGAGTCTTGTATCCAGGATCACTCCATGCGAGGAGGGAGCCTGGAAGGCATAACTGCCAGAGGGGAAATGGATCAGAGAGAGTCATCTTAGGACTGTCCTGGTTTTTCACCACCACCCATTTCGCCATGCAGGATACGACTGCATCGAGCCTGTCTGCAAACTGAGCTAGGTCCACCCAGCTGATCTTTCTAGGCGCAGCCTCCCTGTGCCTTACCTGGCGAGCTTCTGTCTTCTCCAGTAATTGCTGGTGGATCCATAGCGATCTAGGACGGCGTTGGCTCAAAAGATGCCACAGGGGGAGTGAAATGGGCAGAGGGCGCTGTCCTCCATTCGCCAATGGGAGGCGAGTGCCTTCCAAGACCCACTCAAGTCCCAGGCAGAGCTAAGGGAGCTTCAACCAACAGCCCCTTCCTGCGGCAGAATTTATCAGGCGTTGGCAACAATGGCTGTTTTCGGGAGCAGAAGAAGCCTTGGGTTACACGTGTGCAAAAGGGGGTGTCCCCTTTGTCTCCTGCAAAAGGGAAAGAGGCAGATTATAAATGACCACTGTTAAAAATGTCATTATCACCACCTGTCCCTTTCTGCATTCATTTCCTTCTGACTTCACTGTTGACAATGCCCCTTCCCTCCAAAAACCCCACCTATGTGACTATATACCTGCAACTCAATATATGATTTAATACACCTGATACAGTGGCATGTACTCCACAAAAGCTCTTGCTATTGTGAATTTGTTATCCTTTAAGGTGCCACAAGACTCTTCTCAGGCTTTTAAGGCAGAGAGATGTCTTTAAAACAAATTGTTTAGCAGTTTTCTGTGTTTTTAGCCTACACTATGCAGAGACAGGAGGCACAATTGCCTTGAAAGTGCAGCAAGTTTAAAACTCATCCCTCAGAATCTCCTCTCAACATCTGAAGATCTCGAAGTTTGAAAGGATGTACACATTTTAAAATTTGGGTTAAGCTTTGCGATTGTAGGGGGGTGAATGGATCCTCCCTGCAGTCTTTCTCAATACAGGTAAGAAGCATCTCATGGGGCAGGCGGATGAAAACAAGTGCTTGAATCTACATATAATCACAGAACTGTAGAGTTGGAAGGGACCACAAGCTTCATCTAGTCCAGGCATGTTCAAAGTCCGTTTTGGGGGCTTAATCCGGCCCACTGGTCAGTTTAATCTGGCCCCTGTGGCTGTTTATTTCCTGGGGTAAAGTCCTGAAAAACCTCAACAACTTCAACCCTAAAAAATGGTTAACAACTTTGGTCGGCCCTCACGGCCCTTCACTTCATCAAATCTGGCCCTCTTTGAAAAAAGTTTGGACACCACTGATCTAGTCCAGGGGTAGGCAAACTAAGGCCCAGGGGCCGGATCTGTCCCAATCACCTTCTAAATCCGGCCTGCAGATGGTCTGGGAATCAGCGTGTTTTTACATGAGTAGAATGTGTCCTTTTATTTAAAATGCATCTCTGGGTTATTTGTGGGGCATAGGAATTTGTTCATCCCTCCCCCCAAAAATATAGTCCGGCCCCCCACAAGGTCTGAGGCATGATGGACCGGCCCCCTGATGAAAAGGTTTGCTGACCCCCTGATAGTCCTACCCCCTACAATGCAGGAATATTTTGCCCAACCTGGGGCAAATTAAGCATGAAATTAAGAGTCTCTTGCTTTACGGACTGAACTACTCTCACAGATGCCATCAGAGCTGCTACTTGCTGCTCCAACTTCTTGAGGGTCCATGAAGATCCCCAGTAGAAATGCAAAATGGGAATGTAGGGCAACAGAGGAGCAAGAGACTGCAGGAAAATCTCCAGGTAGGCAAGGAAGCTAGATGGGCCCAAGGCGGCAGCAGCAGCAAGCCTGAGTGTGTGACTGAGAACTAAAGGGAAATGCAAGCAAAATGTCCCAGGTTCAGTCCCCAGGTCAGGTTGGGTGAGACACCTGCCTGAAACCCTAGAGAACCACTGCTGCCTGTCGGTGCGGACAGTACTGAGCTAGAAGGACCCAATGGTCTGATGCAGTACAAGCCTGTGGGAGACAGGTGAACATCTCCTGGGGTTTTTGAAGCCCTCCCTCCAGCAGCTGTTCCACCTGTGCTGCTCACTCAGCTGTTGAAACTAAGGTGTGGCTTGCGAGTGTCAGCTGGGAGCACTGGATTGGCATCCCTGACGCTGGGGAAAAAACCTGCCGCCCACAACAACCTGGCCTCTCATCAAGCTCAGCAGGACACACTTCACCTGGCAGAGCACCAAGGATGTTTTCTGGCTAGCACGGCAAATGGGACACATTTGGGGAAACAGAGCTCTGTGTTGCTCTTTGGATGCTGTTTCTATCATGCAGAAACTGGGGATTGCAAGAGCTGGTCTTTGACAGGGAAGTTGAGCAACAAGGCAGAAGAGAAGGACATTTATGAGCACAGCAAAGTTGCTCACTTAAAACAGGCAGAAACTGGACTCTGGGAGTCCAAGACTCTTGGCACCCAGACAGCGCAAGGTCCTCCCTCCATCATTCAGGCTGCCCGTGGCTCAGAGCCCAAAGCCTTCAGGTTGGGAAGAACAAATAGTTTGAACCACCTGAGATCACTCACTGAGCTTCTTGAACTTTGACTCCTCGTTTGGAAACTGGAATAACCACCATTTAAATAAGCAGAGATCTTTGATAGGCCGGTTAAGGATGCCTCCAGCTCTTGGCTTAGGGACTTATTCAAGCAAACGGTGGCGGGAGTTATTCAAGTATTTCTAGCAATAACTGGTTTTTAATATTATTATTGATTGATACCTGCTTCATAAGAACGTTAGAAGAGTCTTCTGGATCAGGCCAATGGTTCATCTAGTTCAACATCTTGTTCTAAAAGTGGCCAAGCAGATGTCTATTATAAGACACCCACAAGCAGGACTTCAGCCCCAGAGCACTCTCTACCTTCCTGTGGTTTGCAGCAACTGGTTTTCAGAAGCACGGCGGCCTACAACTTTGGGGGCAGAGCATAGCTATCATGGCTAGTAGCCCTTGATATAAACTTGCTTAATCCCCTTTTAAACCCATCCAAGTCGGTGGTCATCCCTGCCTCCTGTGGGAGGGAGTTCCAAAGATTAACTATGCAGGGCATAAAGAAGTGCTTCCTTTGTAGGCGATCAGCTTGGCTTAAACCACCCTTCCCCAAACTTGATGCCTTCCGGATATTTTGGGTGGAACCTCCCATCAGCCCCAGGCAGCATAGCTGCAGGGCACAGAGGCTGTTGAGAGCTGTAGCCCCAAACTTCTGGAGGGCACCAGGTTGGGGAAGGGTTAGGGTCTTCAAAGGAGCCTTTCCCGAGAATTAAGGGGGAAAAAAGGATTTGGAAATGGTTACCGGTATATTGATTGATAATTTATTTGTTAAAATTGTTCAGTAAAAATATATACAAAATAATAATAATAAATAAATAAAAAGGATTTGGTCTTTAGCGGAAACTAGGGAAGGGCAATGCACTTTGGTGACTCTGGCCTCCAATGCTGCTCCCATATAGAATCGCAGAGTTGGAAGGGACCACAAGGGTCATCTAGTCCAACCCCCTGTAGGAAACTTTTTTTGCCTAACATGGGTTTTGAACCCACAACCCTGAGATTAAGAGTCTCATGCTCTAACAACTGAGCTATCCCTTCCTGTGTGCTGCTGCCACCGCCTCCTCCCCACAGCCAGCATGATCTGCTCCAAACCCTTATCCCCCTCCCAGGGTCACTTCACACATTACACACTTTCCCATATAACAGCAGAACATGGTGCACATGCCAAACGCACGTTTTCCACCATGTACATGAGCTGCACTTGTCGAAAAGCTGGTGCTTTCAGTCTTGCACAATTCTGTTTCTTGGGGAGGGGCAGTGGGCAGCCAAATCTGGCCCTGGTAGAGAGGAGTGGAGCAGGTTTAGGCAACACTGTGCATCCCTGCTCCCAATTGCGGGTGTGTGTGTCATTATTCTCCCAGTTTAGCTAACCCTGAGCCAGAAAACGGCCTCAGCGTGGCCATTAGATTACTACCCCTCCACCTTTTCAACACGGAGGTCTCCAGAGGAGTTACAACAATCTAAAAACGCCATTACAGTACAGTGGTACCTCAGGTTAAGTACTTAATTCGTTCCTAAGGTCCGTTCTTAACCTGAAGCACCACTTTAACTAATGGGGCCTCCCGCTGCTGCTGCGCTATCGCCACGTGATTTCTGTTCTCATCCTGAAGCAAAGTACTTAACCCGAGGTACTATTTCTGGGTTAGCGGAGTCTGTAACCTGAAGCGTCTGTAACCTGAAGCGCATGTAATCCGAGGTACCACTGTATTTAAATCAGTTAAAATAAATTACGGTCAAGAGAGCATTGGAAGAGCCCGACGGTCACTGGATCAGGACAAAGGACACGGGGTAGGGTAACCTAGTCCAGCATTTTGTTCTCACCCTCTTCTGGGAGGCCCAGAAACAGAGCCTGAGCGCAGCACAGACACCGCGGCTGGTAGCCACGGATAGCGTCATTCACCGCCATGGATTTGTCTACACCTGTAGTGCTCTGCCACTGGAACTCCCTGCCAATTGAAGGCTGGAGAGCTTCAGAAGACGAGGGGGGAAGCAGCAGCAGCGCCCAGGTGGGTGAAGGGTTCTGGCACTTGCTCGCCCCCTGGGAATGAAGTTAACCCCTTTCTTAACCTAGGGAGGTTCTCTCAAGGTTTGGGGGGGGGGGAGGAGACAGATTTCCATCCTATAATCATCGCAAGTAAAGGGGAGGGGGGGGTTGGATGTAGAGAGGCAGCTTTCAGACCTCTTGGAAGAGGGAACGTTCCGGACTCCAACAAGCAAGAGTCGTATGAACTTGAGCCATGGGGACCCCTTCTGTCTTCATCGAAGGTGACCCCTCCCGCTCTGCTAGGGATTCCTCCTGTTCTCGAACCCTTGGGTGGGATCAGGGGCGTCCCCCCCCCCCGGAGATGATCGCTTAGGGGAGTCGGCGGAAGAGGCAGCCCTCCGGTTCGACGGAGCCCCCGGACAGTTTGATTCCCTCCCCCCCCCCACTCGGCTCGGAGGGGTCCTTGGAAGGAACGACCCGCCCATCCCTCACCTGCCTCTCCGCCTGCTTGGCGGCAGATGCTCCCGCTGGTCCCGCGGACGCCTTCCTGCGTCTTCCCCGACGGCTCCGTCTCAGGCTCCGTCTCTGCCTGGAGCTCCCGCCTTCTCCGTCGCCTCTGCCCCTTTCTGTTGCCCGGAGCGCCCTCCGTTCCTTCCCACCCCCCTCCCGTTCACTTGCCAAATCCTCGCCCGCCCCCACCCTCAGGTCGCCACCTCTTCCTCAGTCTTGTTAGTACAACGGCCTGGCAGGCGGAAATTCGGCCGGCGAAGCTTTTCCCAGGCGGGAGGATGCGGCTCCAGTTGGATTCCTCCCCGTCGGCGGGCTGGCAAGGGAAGGCGTGCCGGGCTTAGGGAAGAAAAAGCACTCTGAACATGCGCAGAAGCCGTCTCTACGCCAACCTTTCCGACAGGGGGCGCTGCGCTTCTGACTACCAGGGCTGATCCTCTCTGCGAGGCTGCTCCCGCTGCCCACCCGTTCTGGCGACCTTTCAGTGCGGGGCAGAGCAGAGAAGGAGGGGAATCGGGACCTGCCTGACTCGGCTGCTGCAGAGCAACCACCCAGCCCAGGACAGGTTTCCTCCAGCTCATAGCCCCTTCGCGTCCTGAATTCTCAAAATGCCTCTGAATTAGTTGCTGGGAATCGCAGGTGGGGAGAGAGCGTAAGAAGAGCCTGCTGGATCAGGTCAACGGGCCATCTAGTCCAGCATCCTGTTCTCACAGTAGTAGTTGCCTGTGGGATTCAAGCATAAGAGCCCTCTCGCCTCCTGTGGTTTCTCCCCTCCAGTGGCGCTCAGTTCTTGCTTGGTGTCTTTTCCGATTGGGACATCCCTTTGGCCCCTGCAAGAACAAGATTCTGGGCTGAATGCAGCCTCTCTGGCCTGACCTGGCCACAGAATTTTTCTTATGGAACCTCCAAATCCAGGAGAAGTCTATCTAGGTCCTGATTCAGCACTGCAGGGCTCTTCTGATGTCCTCATGGGACACTGTCCATTTAAACATAGGAAGGTGTTGATAGGGATGGGCTTGATCAGACCCATGTGCAGGGTCCTTGTCTCAACAATGCCCCTGCAGGGCTACCAAGCGGGGCACAAAGTTGACCAGAGAGCCCCCTCCCTCTCCACTGTTTGTTGCTTCTGACTTTGCACATTCCAAGATAAACTCCATGCTTCTCTGGAGAGAAACCACACACATTGGCCACAAACCTCTTTGTTCCTTCATGAGGGCCGGTCTCTTTGCCTTCTCCTCTCCAGAGATAGCAAGTGTCTTTGCAGAGTTCACCACAGCCCTGCTGATGGCAGACACACAGCTGGAATTGACTGTGCTGGCTTCCTTGGAGGTGGAGGAGGAGAAGCAGGAGGATGCTTAGGAACATCTGAAGGTGCCATCTTAAAGAATTGTAGAGTTGGAAGGGACCCCCAAGAATCATCTACCAGTGGTGGCCAAATTTGGCCCTCCAGCTGTTTTTGGACTACAACTCCCATCATCCCTAGCTAACAGGACCAGTGGCCAGGGATGATGGAAATTGTAGTCCCAAAACAGCTGGAGGGCCAAGTTTGGCCACCACTGATCTAGACCAACCCCATGCAACGTGTCCCTTGGTCTGTGTAGCCCAAGTGCTCCCCTTTTAATGCCCTGATCTCAAGCAAGGTGGGAAGGAAGCCTAGAAAGAGAATTGCACTCTGCACATGCCTAGAGGCCCTCTTCTCAGTTACTTCAAACATTCCTAACATGGAATATGCAGACCCTTATCAGCATCATTATTCTAAAGACTTCTCTGCTGTCCTCCACAAAAGCTTCCAGGACAGTTTGTTGACTCTGAGCCTGACATTTCCCCCGCCAACGCTGCCTCTTTGTTTTGTTCCACCGCTTGTGCAATTGCCGAAACTCACATCATGGGGCCTCATGTGCAAGGTATGACTTACAGTGCCGGGCTGTGGCCATTGCACTTTTCTCAGTGGGACTCTGGCAGAATGAATGCATCGTTCTAAAAGGCCAATCGACGAGCAAGCAAAGCTCACATAAGACAATGCCCAGGGGACCGTTTTTTGGCATGGGAAAGAAGCTCTACGTTGTGTAAACAAAGGGTTCATGATGAGTTTGGCAGCTGGGGAAGCCAGAGGGCTCTCAGAGCAGCAGGCAGGCTGGTTTTGCTTTCAAGACATGAATTGCTGGCAAGCACCTGTGTAGCTGCTTACACCTTAAAACACACCTCCCCAGCCCACCCTCAAAAGAATAATGGGAACTGTAGCTTTCCCCCAGAGAGCTACAATTCCCAGTACTTAGCAAACTACAGTTCCCAGGATTCTTTGGGGGAAGTCAAGTGCTTTCAATGTCTGGAGTGAACACCGACAGATGTCTCTCTTCAGCATTTCATAGGATCATAGAATTGTATACAGGCAACCTGTGATTTGCACGGGGTTTGCATTCTGGGTCACTGTGTGCATTGGTAAGCTCATAAGCCCACCCTGTCCCCATTATGCCCTGTTATGCCCCTGCCCCCCTCCATTATGTCCTTTTCCAGGTCCAAAAACAGCCCATGTGTGCATGGTCATGTGTGCTTTGAATGCACACAAAACAGCCGTTCCCTGTAGTTGGAAGGGACCCAGAGGGTCATCTCATTCAACCCTCTGTGATGCAGGAATCACAGCTAGTTTCCAGAAGTGATTTGGATGTCACCTGGATGTCCAACTGTGCAAAAATTAGGCTTATATCTTTCCTGGTACCCATATTGGAAGAAGAAGAAGAATCTGGGATGCTGGGATCTATCCCAGCATCCTGTTCTCTCCATGACCAGCCAGATGCCCTAAAGGGAAGCCCACAACAGCAGGTCTCTCCCTACTTGTGCTTCCCAGCAGGCATCCTGTCTCCAACAGTGGAGGGAGAACCTACTCATCAAGGCTAGGAGACACTGATAGCCTCCTCCTCCATGCATTTGTATACAGTGGTACCTCGGGTTACATACGCTTCAGGTTACATACGCTTCAGGTTACAGACTCCGCTAACCCAGATATAGTGCTTCAGGTTAAGAACTTTGCTTCAGGATGAGAACAGAAACCGTGCTCCAGCGGCACGGCGGCAGCAGGAGGCCCCATTAGCTAAAGTGGTGCTTCAGGTTAAGAACAGTTTCAGGTTAAGTACAGACCTCCGGAACGAATTAAGTACTTAACCCAAGGTACCACTTTAATCTTCTTTTAAGGCCATTCAAGTTGGTGACCCTCACTGCCTCCTGGGGAAGTGAGTTCCACAGTTTAACTCTGCACTGTTTTGAGGAAGTCCTTTAATTTGTCCCAAACCCTCCAACATTCAACTACATTGGATGTCCATGAGTTCTGGTATTAGGAAAGAGGGAGGAAAAAACATTATTCGCTTTCTCCACACCTTAATTTTATACGCCTCTATCACGTCATCTCTTACTTGCCTTTCTTTCTAAGCTAAAAAGTCCCAAATGTTGAAAACAACCTTTCTTCAGAGGTGTGTTGCTGCATCATCCCCTTGATGACCCAGGTTGTCCCTTTTCTGGCCCTTTTGCAATCCTGCCCCATGGAAGGACAGCAAAGCAGAGAGAGGAGGACAGTTCCACTCTTAGGAAATGGTGAGGGAGGCTGACGTCAGGGAGAGTCATGTGCTTCCCTGACTGAGACATTCTAGGGAAATGACTAGAGGGAACATAGACTGAGTCCATCAATCAAGCTCAGTGTTGTCGGCACTGACTGGCAGCAATGGCTCTCCGGGGTTTTTCAGAGAGGAGACCTTCCCCTGGAGATGCTGTTGAGGATTGAACCTTGCGAGCTTCTACGTACAAAGCAGATTCTCTGTCGTGAAGGTGCATGGCCCTTTCTTTTGGGGTTTTGTTTCCTTCAGATGAGAGAGCCCCCCCCCCCCGCAGTTTCTCATATAACAAGCAGAGCCCAAGCAGAAGCAAAGAGGAAAACATAGAAAATACTCCAGGGAACAATTTTTGGGCAGCCTCTCCAGCTCACCCCCGCCCATTTTCTCTCTGCCATTCCAACTTGAACCACTCCTTCTCTCTCTAGCCTGTATTATCTTTGCAAATTTGAGAGCAGCTTTCAACTGAAGGGTATACAAAAGCTCTCCATAAAGCATAAAATCTAAATATTCACCCACCAGGCTTTTGCCTCATGCCCATGAAAGTAAACTACCTGCCCAGAGCTATGAAAAAATGTGAGTCTTTGGTGACTTCCAAACCATTTAACACACATTTAAAGCATATGGCTTTTACTAAAGAACCTTGGGAACTGCAGTTTGTCAAGGGTGCTGGGAATTGTAGCTTTTGGATAGATACAGTTTCCAGGACTGGGGGAAAGCATGGTTTTTAAAGTGGTGTAAACACGCTTTAAATGTATGGTGTGGATGTGACTTTCATTTATCAACTCTCATACTCCAGTCACACTTCACATGAGGAAAGCATCAGAGAGAAGGCTCCTCACGCTTGGACCCCCAGCCTTGGGGTGAGCCCAGATTCTTCCCAACTGAGGAGGCAATGTGGTGTAGTGGTTAGAGTAGGACCAGGGAGACCAGGTTCAAACTCAGCCCTGAAGTTTGCTGAGTGACTTCAGTCTCTCTGTCTCTCTCAGTCTTGCCAAACACACAGTGATTTTGTGAAGAGAGAAGGGAGGCGGAGAGGACCACATACATCACCCCGAGCTCCTTGGATGAAGGTTTGCAATAACAAATGAACAAATTGAAATGACAGGCATACAAAGCAGCGATGTGAAGACTGGAGCACCTGTCAATCCTGCCACCATGATTCAGGCACGTTGTCTGTCTTAAAGAAAAACCAGGTATATGAACATTCAAGTGTTTATTGTTTCATTCTTCGCTTCTGAAATCCGGTTCATCCTTGAGGAGGGAAAAGATGGAACATTTCCTAGTGCCACAGCCAGTGTCTGTCTTCCTGCATTTCAGGGGTTTGGAGTAGATGATCCTTGGGATCCCTTTCCAACTTGACAATCCTATGATTCCCCCTTGGTCTGTTATTCCAGGAGTGACCTGCTGGGTTTGTTCCAGCTGCAGAAAATCACAGAAATGGAGCAAAGTCAGAAGCTGAAGTTTGGCTACAAAACTGGCCCTCTGTTTCAGAGAAGAAGCCAGCAAATCCTGGTTGGTGAGCCTCACATCCTCAGAGTGTCTTACAGAGGGGTGGGGGTTCCCTGTGGC